TCTTTAAACATAAAAATGTAGCCTTTTTCTTAACCATTTACACCCCAACATCAGTATGCATATTCTCCATACTGTTATCTATACATTTACTAAGGTGCTGAGAAGGAGAATTTATTGAATGATCAAGAGCTTCTTCACTTGAGATCATTTCCTTTATTCTCATGATCTTAATATATGATTCAGGGGTGAAACTGTAAGAAGAAATTAGATGCTAGTCACTCTAATGGGATCAAAAGATGAAAATAATTAACACATTACCCTTTTTACAACTTCCCTACATAAATATTTCTTAATTCAAAATAAAATACTTTTTACTCACTGTCTCTGTGATGTATTTTTCCACCAAATGCTTTCCTTCTGTTCCAACTATCATTTTCCAGCTTTGCTGGGAGTATATTCTAACACCTTCTGCCACATAATACCTTTTAAAAAAAGTGATTTCAATTCAGCTACATAATTGGGAATATTTATTTACAATCCTGATGTCAATAGATTTAAAATTGAAATGTTAAGATGTGTTAAGGTAAAAGTTAACTTTTCATTTCATATTGCATTCAACTTCATCAGCATTGTATTTTTTCAGAAACAATAATTTGCTCGATGAAGAATCAATTGATTCAAATCAGGAATTATTCCAGAAATTATACTGCATGGTCTAACCTGTTCAGACACATGGCTGGTAGCACCTTGGGGAAGAACCTCTCTCTTGATTCTTTATTGGGCAGAGTCTGAAAGAACTGCCGCGTGGCTACAGAGGCTGCTAACCTAACCTATATTTCAAATGAAAACAGATGTTATGAAGTATAAAGTATGACCAGAATTTAAACACAACAGTCTCAGGAAATTATGCAGCAAAGTAAAGTGAAAGTCAAACAATGTATTAAGTGGTTGTTTGATGTCATACAACATTGACAACAAGTCACATTAACATCACAGCATCAAGCGGACAAGTGATGAGAATATAAAAAATATCAATTAGGGGATAAGTTGACCCAATACCAAACTCTCTGAACTAACATCATGAGAATTGTATGGCAGACAGTAAGGAGAATTCCTAAGAAATTTTGGATAAATAACACCATTCTAACTATGGAACTGAGGAGCTTTCAGTATACAGCATGTATCAAATGAACTATGGTTCTTAGTGTTTTTTTTTGTTATCTTTCCATGAAAAGCAAAAATAATCTTTCCCTTAAATTTCCTTTGAAAATTTTCTTCCAGATTATTATAATCTGGGACATTTAAGGATGAAAAAGAGAACACTTCAACTAGTGATTGAAATTTCAACCAATGTAAGTAAAAATCTGAACTACATCACTATCCTGAAAAGGGATATTATTAAAATTAAAATCTATGTGTTGCACAAGTAATCTGTCAACATACTTGGCTCCAGTTGTCAGACAATCCTTTTTTCAGGTAATCTGAAAACTGATCTCCATGTTTAAGTATTGCATTTTCTTTAACATCTATCATGACAGACTCTGTACCTTCAGACGACTCATCTGCAAAAAAGTGCACATTTTGAATTGTATAACTCAAGAACTAAATGAAGAACACTGCTGCATTATATGCTTATGAATAGGGAGAGAAAATAAATTTGACAGGTCTCACCCAATAAACCCCAGATCAAATTTGTAATTCTTCTTACTGTCAACTATACAATTCTTATAATGTTAGTTCAGAGAATTTTGTATTGGATCAACTAATTATCACCAAATTGATATTTTTCTCTATTCTCATCACTTATCTGGTTGATATTGTATTGACATTGTAAGGAGAAATTCTGTTTTGGTCACTCATGGGAGCTAAAGGGTTAAATGTGATACCTGATTAACCTCAAATTAATACAGTATTTTACAGAAAGGCAAGCTAAGGAGAGACTTGATGTTTTCCCCTATAAATTTGACATGTGAAGTACTGTTTAAAGTGCACATGATGAGTCAATTTTTCTAACATTTGCACATAAAACAGGATTAGGACCCCCCCCACCCCCACTTTGCTACCCTCTCAAGACCTATGCTTTACAACAGGAGAAATGATCTTACATAAAAACTACAATTGCCTTATTAGAAAGATAAAGAAAAAATGATTGAGAAGGGGGGGGGGGTCATACATGACAAAACATTCTCTAAATCAATAGCCTACAAATGCATTTTCAAAGATCACTTGCAGCCACAATGGACACTTTTAAGATTCCAAAGAGATCTGATTGTACCAAAGAACTTCGGAAAGGACAATTTGATAAATTTGGGTAGGGGTAATCCAAATGTTCTTTGTTTAGTTTGCAATGATCCTGTTTATGTGCAAATGTTAGAAAAATTCACTCATCATCTGCACTTTAAACAGGATCAGGACTCCCCCCTCCCCAACTGTTTTACAACAGGAGAAATGATCTTGCATGAAAACTATAGATATGTTACTAGAAAGATAAAGCAAAACTGATTGAGAATTAATCCAAAAGGATTCCTACCTTGCTTTCTTCCCAGGCTAACAAGTGATGCACAGAGTTGATAACCTGTCTCTCTCACAAATCTGTTTGTATGGTTTAATGCTTGAAATATCAGATCTAGAAGGTCCTGAGTGATGTATTCATTAAAGGCTCTTCCACATCCTTCTATCACTGATTGAAGACACCTAAAACATAAAGTATCTCAGCCACCTTTCTTCTGTTTACCGCACTTGGTTAGCTTACATTATGTAGCGCAGGACTGGCATAAGGGAGGTCAAGGGCTCAATTTCCAGACCCGACTAACATGCAAGACCAAGGGTCTTAAATGACTGAGGAGAATGCACTACCTTTGCCTTAATAAGAAGATAAGCTGTAGGCCCTGTCCCCTGTCTTTCCTCTGTACTGGTTAGCAGAGGACATTAACCCTTTAACTCCGAGAAGTGATTAACATAAAACTTCTTGTTATAAAATCCTCACATCATCCAGCAAACAGGTTATGAGAATACTCAAACTTATCAAGTAGAAGTTGTTGTCTTGATCTAACACCAAATTCACATAACTAATTTACAAGGAAAGGTGTAGCAGCTTGAGGGGAGAATTAACATCAAGATCTTGGGAGTTAAAGGGTTAAAAACCCACATACTTCTCGTAAAGAGTAGGGAACATAGTCCCCGGTGTTGTGGTCTGACCTTGTCATTGCTTACACAAGCTCCCATTTAAACCAGCTCTGAGCTGAACTGGGCCAGCCTGTCTAAATATCACAAACACACACAAAGCCCTATAGGCAGTTGCTATATTTTTGCTAATAAAACTGAAGTTGATAGCATGTGACAAACCTCATGCTTGTCTCCAAATGTTTCCATCCAGCAGTATCATGAAATATCTGTGCAGCATCTGTTTTTTTGTACTGAAAAATCCAAATAATATTGTATGAAAAAAGAGCTGAGACAAGAATACTACTAGTGATTTGATTAACATAAAGACTAAATGTTATTGCTCTTAGTTGTTGAACAAAAAAAAGTTGGAAGTTTCTTTTCTATTTTCAAATACACATCGCTATTTTAACCCTTTGGCCCCTAAGAGTGACTAGCATCTAATTTCTCCTTACCAAATCACCCCTGAGTCAAACATGAAAGTCATAAGAATAAAGGAGATGATCACCAACTAAAGCAGCTCTTGATTGTTATACGAATTCTCCTTGTCACCTTCTTTGGAAATGTATGAAGAACAGTATGGAGAATATGCATGCTGATGTTTGGGTGTAAAGGGTTAAAAGTATTTAGTTATTCACCTTTTCTTCACCTGTCTCCTTTTCACTACCAGTTAACTTATGCACAAGTCCTTCAGCTACTTCTTCAGGGTCAGGCAATCTTCTCTCCAAATTTTCACCCACGTTCTTCAAGATTTCATCACAGCAAGCCACAAAAACTCCTGTACCTTTCATTGAACAAAGGGCACCAAGTACCTCTCCTGTAATTATAAAAAAAAAAGGGGATGAAGTTTTGAAATCAGTGCACAGCACTGTGAAAATGAACACAATAAAGTGTATTTTAGAGAGTGGAAACAGATAAAAACGTTATCAAAACTTATTTCATAAATGAACAACAGAGACAACCAGGTAACTTTCATTTGGTATCATTTCAATGTACGTACTTTGACTATCTGAGTTATACGTTACGTAAAAAAAATAAACCAAATTCTTTAAAAGGTCTCTATGTAATCTATTGCTTAAGTGTCTGCATGGATGAAAAGTGTCTTTCGTGATTCAGAAAACTTTTAAAGTCGAGGTTACTTATTAATTCAATTTTACGTTGGGAGCTGATCAATATCATGGCTTTGTCCAACATCCTTTTAAAGGGGGGATAATACGTGGCAAAATATTCTCTACATCAATAGCCTACGCATGCATTTTCACAGATCGGTTGCAGCCACAATGGACACTTTAAAGATTCCGAAGAGATTTGATCGCGCCAAAGAACTTCTAAAAGGACAATTTGGTAAATTTGGGAAGGGGTAATCCCAATGTTCTTTGTTTGGTTTGCGACGACGATCGTGCTCCTAACCTCTGTAAAATTAGCTTTAATTCTGATTTCACCTGAAGCAATCCTGACCCTCGCTTCGTCATCATGCATTAATTTTAATGCTTTTTTTCTGAGGGTCTCACAAAAATCATCCGAGCCGAGATTGTTCAAAATAAATGTCTTGCTTCCTGTCAAACCACCATGTCGTGTCTCCCAGGCTCCATCCGTCGATGTCACAAGTTCGATCAAAGAGTTTTGCAAATCCTCTACTTGTTGAATATCTGAAGTAAAGTTCGAAGTATCTTTCAGTTTCCCTTCCAAAGCTTGTAGCCCTCTATCTCTTTCTAACTTCACATGGCTACAAAGAAGATCTAAGATATCACTGACAGATTTGTCCGCCATCTTTGTTTGAAGTATCCAACAAAGGATTGTGGGACGGATGTGTCACTTTTGACTGCTGGGAGGAGAGGGTAAGGATCGTATGGAAAGGTGCATGGTCAGTGCGAGCAACTGCAAGCAAATGCAAGTGTGCAGGTGGGCTTGCGAAAACAAATTCCTCCCCAAGTAAGTCTACATGATCCTGAATTCAAGGTACTTTTCTTCATTATATATATAACAGCATACCTGGATTTAAGGAGGATATGAAATGAAAGAGAGATGACTGCTGTGTAGCCGCGCCGGCATGCGGCGGCCCGCGTTTCTCTTCCCGCCTCTTCTTTCTCTTTCCCAAACACTAGCCAATCAGATGCTTGGTCGACGATGACGTTCAGCGAGGGGAAAAAGATTTCAGCTGAGTTCAGAGACTTTTTTTGAGTTTACATTTCGACGAAACAGTTAAAATTTCCAGTTGCTCGCGTTCATGGTAGCAAGGACTCAACATACTATCAGGAAAAACTTGGAAGGTTGTAGACAGAGTTCCTCAAAGCAAAAAGAGGTAAGTTGGTTGCCCTAGATATCAGGCGTGCATGAGCTAAGATTTTGCTTTAAAGAGCTGTGAGGATTTTTGAAACGAACCTGTTGTATCTCTGACAAAACTCAGGTCAAACCTCGACCATCAATTTTCATGCGTAGAAGATTCTTTGTTGCAACCAAGGAATTTATAAAAAGTTGGAGGACAACTTCAAAAGTTGATTATTCAGAGTGAACCGAACTCTTCGTTTCTATAGTGAGCAAGCAAGTTTAAGTACTTTCGTGTATTTTAGATGCTAAGCTCACTTTCGCCTTGTATACTTGTTTTATTGAACCATAGGAGAAAAAAAAACTGGCCATGGCGAATCAATTGTCTGAGTATGAAATTCAGCGATTTCACAACATAAAAAAGAACCACGAGTACATGAAAAGTCTAGGTGAGTATTTTATAACTAATATTTCCTTGCCAAAGACATTAGTGTTGATGTTTCTTAAGCCCCGTTTACACCAATAAACTGTTCAGTTTGAAACGTACATCATCTTTGATGTAAATGGAGCATTTATGAATTATCATGATTTTGGCAACTGCTATGATTGCCTGCTTGAAAAAAACATTTGGCCCAATTTATGCAATTTGGAACTTCCTGTCAAAACCTTTACGAACAGAATACCTCGAGTGACTATACTACTCTCTTGAACAAAATATCTCTCCCTGAATATCATACTCTCTTGGAAAATTGATTTGATTGAGCAGTTAATCAGCCTTAAACATCAGTATCTACTTCCCCTTAGAAAGTCACTCCTTTCCTCAATTTTGAAGATGTAAATTTCTGCCTTGATGCAGCTTTTTTACTGATTTAACTACCTCCCAACCTAAGAATCTAACTATTCATTTTGCATATTTACGAGTCGCTCTTCGTTCTAAGGACTTCCTGTTCCTGTAGTTCCAGCTGGGCTCCAAGGTCGTCCTCGTAGAACGCCGGTAAAAAAGAGTAAAACACTATATTTCGGCCAAGATGGGGAGAGTTCAAATGAGAGTAGTGATGACAGTGATGAAGATTGGGTTCCAGGGTCAGAAGAAGTCATACGAAGAAATAAAATGATAAAAAGGTTTATCCCAGGTAAATTTTTTCCTATGTAAATATGTAAATTAACCGGTTGATTATAACTGTAAAATGTAGCGTTTTTGACGACTGGCTGTTGCTTGTGTCGGCGAAAATCGCTAGGTGTGTCTGTTGCAGCAATAGTGATTTCTGGCGATTTCTACCAATTTCTGCCGATCGCCGATATCTGACATGTCAGATATTGACGATTTTTGCTGGCGATAAAATTCGCCACCTTAGGCGAATCTTAAATCGCCAGGTGTGTCACCGGTCCAAGCAACCCTGGGATTTCATACATTTGTATCAGTGACCGGAGAATTCTACAGCCACCCCGCAGAATTTTGCAGCTAAATTTTAGTGGCCTGGCAATTTGTTCACACGTGGAGAATTTTCACTCATTTTTAACAGTAATTTCGGCTTCTTCATTTCTTAATGAGAACCCTGGCAACTGGAGCAACATAATAAGTACAGGTTACTATACTGATTCACTTCATTTATCAGCACATTCTTTTACTTCAATTGAATTATTTAGTAAGGACTTATACTTTTTTAATCACTGCAGATTTTCGACCAAAACCTCAAACAGTGCCTGTTCAACAAGGACAGATGGAAATAAAAGTGGTAATGATAGAGTTGTTGCTTAGACTGTTAAAGATTTGCTCAAAAAAAGGCACTTCCGTCGCTTACTTAAGAGGACAAATTTGCTCTAAAAACCGTGTCGTTTTTACATCCATCAAAGTAGATTAAGTCCAGCACATCACCGCACTGGCCGCATTTGAGATCTAAAAGATTAAAATAAATTTTTAGAAATTGTCTTCAATGTGCAAAAAATTCGACCGAGGACGCCGTCATTTTTATTCTTGTTTAGCAACGTGGCCACTATGCATGATTTTAAAAAAAGTCTTGCTCCTCTTTCTTCAATCTCTTGGTGATCTATTTGCACAAAAAGGAGGTACACAAAAGGCATTCGGCGTGACGATAATGATTTTTTGGCCATAACCCGAGAGACAACTATTTGTGAACTACGCATCGTGTTTTTGTGCTGAACTACGCATCGTCTATTTTTTTGTCTTGGTTTTTTTTTAGGGATTAAATCATTCTATTTTTTTTTCTCTTGGTTTTGAAGAGACTTGTCTTATCCCCCATAAAAACGTTAAGCCTAGGCTGTTTATAATTAATCAACTGACAATATTTCAGAGAATGAGAGAATGTTAACTTTGAAAAAATATTCCGAGAAGATAGGTCATCATTTGCAGAGAAGAAAATACTAGAACTTTCAAGACTTAATTCTACTGTGCGATTTGAAATTTTACACTTCTCCGAGAAATTTAGGCTCAATTCCAAACGACGAATACAAGAAATACTTGCGAATAGCGAGATCCCTATATGAAAAGTCACATGAATTCGATTACGTTATACAACAAAAGATATGGTATATGTCGCGGGCAAAATCCTGTTCAACAGAGAGTAAATGTACGCACAACTCAAGTACTGTTCTCTAGTTTTGTCTACTTGTTTGATTGATTGTTTGTTTCTTTCAAAATAACTACAGGTGGAAGACGAACAGAGTTGCCCCAATGAATTTGAGGAATTAGCTAGGTTAGGGGAAGAGGTAGATTCAATCCCTGACGAAAGTACAGTGATTTCTTTAAAGCAAGTTAAGGAAACGCTAAAGAAAATCAAAAGAGCCCAGCCTCCTAAGAAGCGAATACAGTATGCAACACGAGGGATGAGGCACTCGTACTGCGAGGCTGAAGTTCCAGACGATGACCATTATATCTGTAAGTTGAACTACAGTATTTGGTCAGTTTTGCTGATGGTTTATAACTTGAAGTGATTCCTCAGAAAAAAAACGTTATCAAACAGTTTTTCTTATCTTTCCTTAAATGTCCCCTACCGTGGTCTGTTTCAAAAAAGATAGGTCACCGTCCTTGTTTAAAAGATATGATGACCAAAACGTACCCTATTAATGCCTACCTTTGCGGTAGCTAAAAGCAAGGGGTTTTAAAATGACATTTGGAAAAAACTTAATAGGTAGAAAGTCCCGGGCACACGGAAAAATTTGATGTGTAATTGTGCAAAAATCACTTAATTTGAACGACATCGACTCAAAACGTTAATCGAGTCGGTGCTCCAGTTCAAGGTTATGATTTGCATCATCGAGTAACGGACTTCGCGCACGCCTTCAGCTATTTCTTTTCGTCGCTTTTTTTTTTTAATTTTTTATTTCTCTAATTTAAAGGGGATGATACGAAATCTAAAGTTATACATGAAATGAAAAATATAGGTCACCGCGCTCGTTCAAGAGATGAAGACCAACGTTCCTCTTTACCTCGTCAATCGATTGAAAAACAATACCGTGTTCTCGGAATGCGCGCGTGCTTATTTGCATGATTACATAATTTTTATGCGCAGTACATGATTCACAATGCAATACTGAGTAATCACATTGGCCCAGTTGTAAAGAGACCGGATAATCGCTATCCGGCGGATAGGTGATTATTAAACATATAGCGTTGTCCACCGCATAGCGATTTATCCATTGAATAGCATTATTCAACTTTCGATTAACCGAGGGCTTAGGTACAAAATGCACTTCACACGACCGGCTTTGAATTAAACTTAAATATATGTTTCCGAAAAGATTTTTACCTCTCCGTCGCCATTGAGACAAATTAGTCTTTGTGTCTTTCTGGGAAGACAAACGATTTGAGCAAAATGATGTTTGGTTAAGAAGAAAGGTGATACACATTGTGAGCGTGTGGTGTTGACCCTTGTAAGATTTGGGTCTCCTTTTCGTAACATATTCGATATTTATTCTCAAAAAGAACTTTCCTATGTGTTAACTCGATTTTTTCACTCTATTTAGTTTGCGAAGAATGTCAAGACCTTCATTATGGTGACTGTCCAGTACATGGGCCTTTGCAAATCATAGCTGACAGGAATACAACAGAAAATTCAAATTTATCGCCTGCAGTCTCCTCACTACCAGTTGTTCTTAAAATAAAGAGTTCGTCAATTCCTGGAGCCGGTTTAGGTGTTTTCAGTACTACTGATATTTCGAAGGGAGTACGATTCGGTCCATACAAAGGGAAGAAGATAGGATGGGAGAACATAACTGATGAGACGAACACGTGTTACATGTGGGAGGTAAAGTGATATTCTTCTGAATATTTTAGCAATTTTTTTCATCTTTCGATTGATAATCAGATGTTAGATATCTGTTCAAAAGCGGAAAACATGCAGAGTTATAGAGCACTCTAAAGCTAAAGCCAAGAATGGATAGACGGAAATATTTGACAAATATTCAGCAAAGTTGAGGTAGCTAGTGGTGGATATTCATCTCGCCGCTTCGCCGCTGGGTAAATATCCACCAATAGCTACTGTCACTGAGATAAATAGTTGTTTCAGTGCAGACTAAAACAGAGAGATATTACAACACGAAAAGATGATTTAGCTCATTTATTCCTGGACCGATTAGAACGTTTTGGGCGAGTTTTTCTCGTGTGCGATTGGTCTTAACGCATTACATGGCCGAATATTCCAGCTAACACTGAGGGATGTTCGAGGATATACCACAAGTGTTGTTTTTCCAATTTTCAATATTTTAGTCCATTGCAGAAAATTCTACGTTTGAAATAGACTTCCAAATAAGACAGCGTTGTCTGGTTGTTGAAGAAGACGAAAAAAGGTAATTTTTAGCGCACAAAATCGTACCAGAGAACTCTGAAAAGTGAACATCCCATGCCGTAGACGGTAAGCAGTTCGCTAACATTTTTCCCGCGAATTTCAAAATATTTGAAGCATAGTAAACATAATAGCCTCCATTTGGCGCTAAAATTAGCTCGTATAGTTGTCCTTGGACATAATCTGTTCCTCGAAGCCCACGGTTTTCCTGGAGCTTCGCTCTTGGAAAACTGTTCGCATATCGGAACAGATAATGTCCGCGGACAAATATCCGTGCGTAAGGAAACGGATTCTATTATATTTTTGCAGATTGTGAAAAGTGGTAAGTTTAGTCATTTCGTGGATGGACACGAAGAAAGTCAAAGCAACTGGATGCGGTTTGTAAATTGCTCTCGCTGCGAGGATGAGCAGAATATAGTGGCTTTTCAGTTTAGAGGCGAGATTTACTACCGTACTTACAAATCAATCAATCCAGGTGAAGAACTGTTAGTGTGGTATGGAGAGAGCTACGCCAGAGATCTGGGGATATCGCTTGTTGATGATCCGGATCGAGGCAGTAAAAAAAGTATGTTAAAGAAATGACTATTTGATTAGAAAAAAACAATTACTACCAGTGCGATTCCAAGAGTAAATTTATAGGGAGTTCCAAAATTTACGTTTTCGCACATGCACATCGGAAAACTTTAGCCTCGATAACGAAATGGAAAGAAAGGAAAAGCTACGATGGCCAGGCTTGGCAGCATGCACATAAATTATACACCTAAATTTATTTTGATATTTTTTTTCTAGGTGTTATCGATCCATGTGATGGTTGTGGAAAGATGTTTACCTCCATAAACTTTCTCCTTAGACACAAGAAATATTACTGTTCAACAAGAACAGACATAAAAATCTGGCAATGTACTATTTGTAAGAAGAAATTTACGTCATTGGATCATTTTAACAGCCATATAAGTTTTCACGCTAATGAGCAGCAAAATTCGTCTAATACGTCATTTCCTAAAAACAAGTACCTTTGGCCCGACGAAGGTAAATGTTCACACAAGTGTACAGAAAGTGGAAAGTCGTTTACCCAGCCTGATAGCCTGACCAGGCACCTCCGTACTCACATGGGTGAAAAGCCATATCAGTGTACACAATGTGGAAAGTCGTTTACCCGGCCTGGTAGCCTGACCATGCACCTCCGTACTCACACGGGTGAAAAGCCATATCAGTGTACACAATGTGGAAAGTCGTTTACCCAGCCTGGTAGCCTGACCATGCACCTCCGTACTCACACGGGTGAAAAGCCATATCAGTGTACACAATGTGGAAAGTCGTTTAACCACTCTGGTAGCCTGACCATGCACCTCCGTACTCACACGGGTGAAAAGCCATATCAGTGTACACAATGTGGAAAGTCGTTTAACCACTCTGGTAGCCTGACCATACACCTCCGTACTCACACGGGTGAAAAGCCATATCAGTGTACACAATGTGGAAAGTCGTTTAACCACTCTGGTAGCCTGACCATGCACCTCCGTACTCACACGGGTGAAAAGCCATATCAGTGTACACAATGTGGAAAGTCGTTTAACCAGCCTGGTAGCCTGACCATGCACCTCCGTACTCACACGGGTGAAAAGCCATATCAGTGTACACAATGTGGAAAGTCGTTTAACCACTCTGGTAGCCTGACCATGCACCTCCGTACTCACACGGGTGAAAAGCCATATCAGTGTACACAATGTGGAAAGTCGTTTACCCAGCCTGGTCACCTGACCATGCACCTCCGTACTCACACGGGTGAAAAGCCATATCAGTGTACACAATGTGGAAAGTCGTTTACCCAGCCTGGTAGCCTGACCATGCACCTCCGTACGCACACGGGTGAAAAGCTATATAAGTGTACACGATGAGGAAAGTCGTTTACCCAGCCTGGTCACCTGACCATGCACCTCCGTACTCACACAAGTGAAAAAACCATATGAGTGTGTACACAATGTGCAAAAAGTCGTTTAACTAGCCTGGTAACCTGACCATACACCTCCATACTCACACAGTCGAAAAACCATATCAGTGTATACAATATGGCAAGTCGCTTCAACGTGACCAGCCTGGTAGCCTGACCATGCAATCCCGCTCTCATAGAGGTGAAAAGCCACATCACAGTATACAATGTGGCAGGTCGTTTAACCAGCCTGGTAACCTGATCATGCACCTCCGCTCTCAGACAGGTGAAAAGCCATATTAGTAGACACAACGTGGCAAGTCGTTTGACAACTCTGGCCACCCGACTAAGCACCTCCGTATTCATACAGATGAAGAGCCATATCAGTGTACACAAAGTGGCAAGTCGTTTTAAAACTCTTGTCACCTAATTTCCCACCTCCGTACTTACACAGGTGAAATTCCATATCAGTGAACACAATGTGGCAATTTGTTTCGCCAGTCTGGCGATCTGAGTAGTCACTTCCGCACTCAAACAGGTGAAAACCAAACCCAGAAGACCAAATGCAGGTTGTTTTACCGATCTTGCAATCCGACTAGGAACCTCGGTACTTATTTGAGTGATAGCGGTATCAGTGTACTCAGCCGAACCAGACCTTAAGTCAGGGTAATTAATTATTGTCCAATGAGTCGATAACGTAAACTAGCCACGGTAAAGAGTGTTAAAGCTGGCGTTTCGAGCGTTTGCCCTTCGTTAGAGCGATGACGAAGGGCTAACGCTCGAAACGTCAGCTTTAAAACTCTTTACGGTGACGAAGTTACGTTATCAACTAAGTTGATGATACTTAATTGCCCTGTTATACTCTCCCACCGACGCAGCACCGCAGTTTCTTTAGAAACTTACCCCCTTTATTCATTAGACCTTTAGTCGGTTTGGTGGAAAGACAGTGTGCGCAATGTGTCATTGCGTTGAACTTGTTTGATTTTGCAATACACCACCGTGCTAACACAACTGAAAGTCGTATCATTGTATGCAAAGACATACCATTCATATTCATACATGTTAAGAAATGACCAGACTGAATAAATAGCTCTGGTTTTAAAAGATTATTTTCTTCAAGAAAAATTAAAGACAGATATGAAACGGTGACACTGCATAATTTTTATTTTATAATTTTTCCCATACGTCGACAGACGATTTGTTATTTTTTAACTTTAACAAGTTTCGGACAAACAAACTTTAATGAAGATATTGATGTTATTGAGCCTTTTATGTTGAACCTCATTTGAATGAAGAAAGAATCACCCCATTGTAAAACATAGGCATGTGTAGTATACAAGAGTTATTTTTTTCGGCTGGGTGGGTAGCGTTTGGACACTTCTTATACCCAGTGTTTTCATTTTTGTAACAGAAAAAGAGTATGACTTTCAAAAGAACTAAAATGTCGCATTACTTCACCTTAGGAGAAGGAAAAAAAGACTAATTCATTTGAACTCACACAGGTATTTTATGGTCTATTGTCTAAATACTTTTGGGCGAAAATAAAATGCATCGGTACCACGCTTGCTGTTGCTCCTTCGTAGCCGTTGCTTGGTCTCGTCACTCAACGCCATTTGTGTATATCTCAGTTGGAGATAGAGCACGTTGCATGACGAGACCAAAGAACAGTTGCGAAAGGGACTACGCTTACTGCCGCTCTTCTTACAGAGAGGAAATCAAAATTATTCGTCTACAGTTTGTTCCCTCAAAAATGTATTTCCACCAAATTTTAATACGAAAAGCAAACTGAAACTATGTTGTATTTCCAATAGACCCTAACCAAATATATATTGCGTTCTCGATAAGTGAAGATACATTGAACAAGGGAAAAGGGTAGTATTTCAACGAAGGCTCCTTGTTGCCTATATGGACTTTGCCTTATGAGTGTAAATTATGTGATAAAATGCAGGTTTACAAGGAATTAACACGCGATTGGGTTAAGTCTAAGGTAGTTAAAAGCAAATTTGACTTGTAGAATAAGTAAAACGCGGGAGAATTGCGTGAAAACTTCACTATCAGAGGCATTTGGTCCCATGTGATTTTTTTCAGTGTGGTTGAACGATGCGTTAAGAAGACGTGATGAAATGCAGGTTGTTTACAAGGAAATAACAAGTGGTGGTGCGAAGTCTATTGTGGAAAAATGGAATTTAATTAGTGAAATACAATTCAAGCAAGTGAAAAATTGCCTAACAGTTATGTAGTGCTATAATTTGGTACGTTCTGATTGGACTTTGGACGTTGCTTTCATGGTGCGTGATGGAATGTAAGTTGTTTGAAGTGTGTGTTGTGAATAAAGGAGCAGAAACACGTTTTAAACTTAAAATGATACAAAAAGTTAAATTCGAACCTTTCATATCCTGATAAATCTCGACCTTAATCCTTAATCGATGAGGGGCTCGCGAAGGCCACAAACCAGTACACTTATTAAATGAGCCCAAAATTTCAGGTTAATGTAATTTTTGCGCACACCCCCTGATTCCATGACATCATTTACAAGAAAAAAAACACCCGAACACTGTGATTGGTGCAAGATATCCAAATACTGTGATATGATTAATGCGAGATACATACCCTTATGCGGCAATCTGATTGATGCGAGATATATACCCTATAGGCCGAAACACCCAAACAGCTTGCTACACGAACAAGTAGGGCCGCACGCGAGAAAACCAGAAGGAGCTTTTAAAAAGAGCCCAGCTGAAAGAAGTGTGAAAACAGCAATTTCTCGGGTTAGTTTTTTTCCCTTTTGTAAGCCTTCACCTAACACCACAAAACTTGAGTTAGATTTATTGACAAGTGAAATACTTGCGCGATTAGAGAGATGGTCTCTGATGCGTCTGCTAAACTCCACTATAAATAATGTTGTACGAGATAGGCTTGATAACTATGTTGAAAAGCTCGCCTTCCCGTCATGCACTCTAAGACGAGATGTCAAGATGGCGGCGGATGATCGTTCGGTGGTCTTGAGGATAAAACGTAAAAGAACAGAAGATCCTCTGGATGCACTTCGTGAGTTCATCTCCTACACGTTCTAATTAAGCTCTCTCTTGTCAAATCTTTGTCCACCTCAAGTGGTAATGAAATTTTCAACGGATGCTGTGTTCCTTACAAAAGTGGGCACATATTTCTTCAACCTTATTAAATCTAACCCGAAGTATTTTTGACAGTTGTCGCTCAGGTCTTGAAGAAACCCTATATTGCAAGGAACGAAGACTGTGAAAAAGATGCTACGTATTTTAAGAACAATGAGTCAACATCTACTGATACCGGTATGTGGAATTCGACTTACATATGCTGTAATTTTTCTTCGTAAATAAAAAGCGAACCTTAAACCAAGCTTTTCTTTGAGTCCTCATGAATTGACCCCACATTGTGCATTGCTGGTAGACTGGCAACAAATCACCTTCCATCCATAATTTTACTGGAACACGAGCTTACGATTTAAATTCGGGAATGTGTAATATTTCTGAGGAAAATGTTTCAGAGAGTCTTAGCTCTGAGCTGAAAATTAAAGTTAAATTCAAGAGATATTTTGCCTCTAGAGAAGATTTTGGAAAATGTTCTATCTTAAGAAAATATCTTATCTCTTCTTGTGTCTTCTCATCTTATCTCATAAACTGACCTGTAAGACTGAGACAGACGTTAGGAGGGAATAAGGTAAAATTTCCGCACAGCCCCGTACTATTGTAAAACAAATCTGTTTTCCCAAAGGCGATCTATTGTTTTTGTCATTGTTTTCTCTATCCAAGAACTAGATTTGAGGCTGTGCAGAGATTTTACCAGGAACAAGTGTTATACTAGTGACCTAATTTGGTTGCAATAGAACATGGGTTAATCAAAGTCTTTGCAAGCATTAATTTTATTTTCCTATGTGGTGTGAGTTTCTCTCTAAATTTGACTTTTTTTTCAAAATTATCAGTTATGTTTAAAATGTAAACATTCAAATTCATGGAAAGCATTTAATCATTAGGAAAATTGTCAACACAGCATCAATGTTGACAGCAAATTAAGAAGAACATCACTGAAGAACTGAAATTTTCATGAAATTTCCAAAATAAATGATGCTTTCAAGGAATTAACAGGACCTCTCGGGCAACAAACACAGCATATGATTTTTTATACATTACTGTTAACCTTAAGATTACAAGAATGTGCCTGTTTCTGACAATGAACTATTTATTGATTTCAGTTGAGCGAGTTTTCAAGTTTGTCGGGAGTGTACCTCAGGGAGATGAAACTAAAAGAAAAGATTTGCTGGTTAGTATTATACTGACTCAAGAAATCAGGGGGTTGGAATCATGCAGAATTTAGGTTGCTTTTAAAAATCTCTTTCCTGAAAATTGTTGAAAGAGTTTACCTTGAAAACTTCACTGAGTTAATTTTGTGTGTTATTCAGTTTTGTGAACAAATTTTTTGAAAATCAATCAATGTTTTTAAATTCATTTTTCACTATAGACTAGGATTAAACAGTCTATCAACCATGAAGACTTGGCTAAATCCCATATCCAAACTCAACAAGCTTTACAAGACAGGTTGCGGAAACAGAAGAAGGTAGAATTTCTCTTTTTATCATAAGTTTCTCTTTTGGTATAAATTGGTAAAGTTTTTCTTGATTCTTTCTTATGGACCACCAATTGAATAATAACAGTATCCTTATCATCAGTTCCTCATTTTTTTCGCCATGACAAGATGTGCTTTTTTTCCATTCATGTTGCAACCCTAAAGATTCTGTAATTTGCAAAGCTAGCAAAATATAGTTATGTTAACTGGATGTCAATTTCCTTTTGGAGGTGGGTCTAACTAGTCTGAGTCAATCTATTCAGAGGATGGGAACATTATTCAACTGCTTAACACTACTCTCATCCACATCATTTCTCAACAAAAGTGGTGCATTTGTTCCCAGTTGAATCAAAGTTGTGTTTCCATGTATTTGTGTCATTGTGAAACAAATATTAAATGATCATCAGTCTGAAATTAGCATAACAACAAGATATGTTTCCCCAGCTTCTGAATCAGGAGGCCAGGTTTAAAGTAATTTCCTCAAACAGGGAGAATGACCATGGATCAACCAGGTATAGTACCTCTACTGTTGTATTACGTCACATTATTTCTATTCAGCTGTAGAAATCCAGATGTTGTTTTGCATTTGTTATGATTATAATCCTCTTGATCCAGTGTTAACCCTTTAACTCCCATGAGTGACCAAAACTGAGTTTCTCCTCACAATATCAATACAATATCAAGCAGATAAGTGATAAGAATAGAGAAAAATATCAATTTGGGGATAATTAGTTGATCCAATACTAAATTCTCTGAAGTAACATTATGTATAAGAATTGTATGGTTGACAGTAAGGAGAATGAAAATTTTGATCTGGAAATTAAAGGATTAAGATTCCTTAAGTTCTAATTGAATATAATGTAAGATTTCACAGGTATTTAAAAGACCACAGTAGAAGATATTTTAAGAATCCATGCCTTGCATTTCTTTGTTTGTTCTACACTTTTGATAATGATTTTATACAAAAAAAAAATCTAGTGAGTGAACTGGTTATCTTGTTCACATTATTATTAAGAAAAGGTATTTCTACACAGCCAATCAGAAAGTAAAGGGGACCTAACCAAGGTGGATGCTGCATCAGGTGGAGCTGCTGATGATGTTGATCTTGAGGTGCAGAGACTTCTAAGTGTATATGACCTTGTTAAAGATCAGGAATCAATTAGGTATGTGGTGAGATTCTCTCTGGAGTTCATTTCAATGTGATTTGTTAAATATTTTGTTTTATGGGAAGAAATTTCTTCATGACATAGTAGACCTGGATTATCTTTTAACCTTTCTTTCTGATTATATGAAACATAAATCATGGTTTCAAAAGTGATAATTTGACCCAGTCTAAATCAGAGACTTGGTTGTAATTTCAAAATTAATGTAGTCATACAGTTTAACTTCATATTTAATCTAGGCATACAGACAGGCATGCAAAATACCTGAGAGAATTTAAAAAAAAGACTTCTTGCTTACTTGTCTAACTAAGGGCTGTAAAAGTTATTTTATATAATACTGAACCTCGTTATTCTGTGTAAGACAAAACGAATGAACAATTGAATTTTGAACTTGATTGTACATGCCACATTGGTTAAAAATATCAATCACACACTCGGAGAAAGATTAAAAAAATTTCTACAACAGATTAACATATACTTTTGTGCTACATGCTCTAACCATTTTGTTTTCCATCATAAAAGCAACTAGAAAAAATTTTGGCAGCTAAATTTGCTGTTCAAGTCACCAATGTTGCCACCTGAGTATGCAAGGTTTGGCTTTTGTGGCAAGTTATAGCATTTGTTAAACAGCTTTTTAAGCCTAAATCAAATTGAGGAAAACATTTCCATTAAATGTTGCTCATCCAGTTATCTTCCTTTAACTCCCATGAGTGACCAAGAGAGAATTTCTCCTTATAATATCAATCCAATATCAAGCAGACAGGTGATGAGAATAAAGAAAGATATCATTCAAGGAATTATAAGTTGATCCAAAACAAAATTCTCCAAATGAACATCACAAGAACTGTACAGGAGACAGTAAGGAGAATAACTAATGAGATCTTGGGAGGTAAAGTGTTAAGTTGCCTGAGTATGAAGCCTTCAGAAATCTTCAAAATAAATGCAGGTCATGTGATGTGTGTGTGTGTGGCAGTTTAGTATATGTCATGTAATATTGCACCAAGAGTCTTGTGACCAAAATTTTATCTTTGCCAACAATTTCATTTTGTAAGGTTGCTAATTTGTGAGTTTGGAGCCTTGTATTTTCCATATGGGAGTAGTGTTCAAGAATGCTTTTCTAATGAGATGGCAATAAACACCTTGTTTGTATTTCATCAAATGTAATTGGTACTTTTGTCTTTACCTTCCTTAATGCAGTGAAAAAAGACGAGAAGAAAGAAAATCAAGGAAGGCACAGCAAGCTGCTGATGTTAATGCAATACTTTGCAACTCTGTCAAGATGATTCGGGAAAAGTTGACAGTGACTGATGGTATATAATGCACGCATTGCTTAATGATGGCAGAATTGGTTTTTTGTCATTCTCTGCATGGTTTTGATTGCCTCAGACAAGATTTACACTACAATTGCTGCTCTTTCTTTCTTAAGTATTTACAATGTACTACTGTGGCACTACTGTGTAATTCTCGTTCATGATGAATGAGCTATTAGCTGTTGGGTGTGACATGCGCCACTAAGTGATGGTGAAGTTTAGTTCTGACTTCCCTTTATTATCAACTGAATCTTAAAAACTCTTTTCTTGTTTCCTGATATTTGCATGCCAATTTAGTTGATAGAAATTAGCTCTGAAATGATTTTGCTGTTTAGCTGAGCAACTCAATGGGATATTTAAAAGTAAATTTTTGAATCATTATTTCACAGATTCTTCAAAAGAAAGAACTGAGCAGAAGAAATCAGAAGCAAATGGATATGTGTATGATTTTTATTATGCCCATGATAATCTTGGACAGCTTGGTGATATGTAAGTGTTTTGTTAAATATTTCCAAAATCTGTATACTTCATAACATATATACCTACAACTAGATTTGCTTAGGCAAAGGATGGAGTATGCTTTAGTTTCTCATTAAAACTCAATAGTCTTTGGAAAGGACTGTTAAATTATAATATTATTATAGGTCTTCAGGACTGCAATTTTTTTTGGACAGACACAAGGAAGCTCTTTCTCAGGCTTAACTCTTTAACCCCAGAGAGTGACTAACATCAAAATTCTCCTTACATTGTTACTGGTGAATCAAACATTAGGGTCCTAGGAATAAAAGAAATGATCAATATCTGAAGGGGCTCTTGATTGTTAAACAAATTCTCCTTGTCAGTACCATGGAGATTTACAGAGAACAGTAAGGAGAAAATGCATACTGACCTTGGGATGTAAATGAATGGATACTAGGTTCTTATCCAAACGCATGGAAACTTGAACTGCTTACTTCAAGAAATTAACCCTTTAACTCCCATGAGTGACCAAGACAGAATTTCTCCTTACAATATCAATACAATATCAAACAGATAAGTGATGAGAATAAAGAAATAATGTCAATTTGGGGATAATTAGCTGGTCCAATACTAAATTCTCTGAACTAACATTATAAGAATTGGATTACTAACAGTAAGGAGAATTATAAATTTGATCTTGGAGTTTAAGGGTTAAGTCATGCTCAGTAGCTTTCATTAGAATGGTTACACATACAGCTCCCATCCATTGAAATTATAACCACTTTGTTTGTCATAAACAACAGTGCCATAGGCAAGAACTAGTTCGTAGCTTTCAGATGAATGGTCACACACTATGGTTTCATCGACAGACAGATGAAGAAGAGGGAACCACCTAATGCAACATATTTTAGCGACGTGTAAAAGTTCTGCTCGTTAGCTTTCATTCTAGGGGATTGTATGACATGAAAGTATTTCAAAAACCCCCCTCTGAGTAGTCATCGCTCAAAGTATTAGTGTCATTCACATGTTTATCATCTCATTATGTATATAATTTTGTAAAATTTTCCAGACAGGCGATAGAATTGCTTTCCTTTTGTAGCTGGCTCACAATTATCAAACAAATATTTTTCTCTTAGAGTTGAAGTTTTGCCTTTCGATGCTGACCTTGTTCATGAAAGTCTTGGTGAAGATTTTGGTGAAATATATGACGATGAAGATGATTCTAATGGTTGGTAGATAGTATTTTAAGTTTTACCTGGGTTCTTTTTCACGTTAAACGAGAAGACTTTCTGAGTTTGTGGAGAAGGGGAAAAAAAAGAGAAAAGAAGTGAAGAAACTGTTGATGCTCTTACATGCAAGTGGTAACAATTCTGTTGCTTAGGAAGGATCAGATCATATCCTGGAATAACTTCCCTGCTTTTCGACGAGCAATATTTTTTGTTTTGGAAAAAAATTTCTTCGTTTTTAAAGAACAATTCATCTTGTTTGATTACCTCTTCAACCTCCCTTTCGCCTTTCCCCTAATTTTGCCACACTTTTAAGTTCTTGTGTTCACACCAAACTACCAGGATCCATTTCACTGATGCTTTAAATCAATTTTTCAGACGAAGGAAACTGGCGAAATGATTATCCTGACGAAGATGATCAATGGTCAGATTCATCCCAGGACAAAAGATATTACGAAGATTACGGATTTAATTCTGGTAAGTTCATTTACAAGAATCTCCTGTAAAGTATCTTGATAACAAAATAATTTTTGGGGCAGGAATTGCTGCAAGCCACCAGTAACTGAAATTTGTTCAAAAAACAGTAAGTAATGATTGCAGAGAAACAAGAAGCTTTTTGTGTAACATGGGAAAGGACGTTATAAATACTGCTCAAGAAACTTATAACTTATGTCAAGAGATTTTAAAAATGCATTTTTTTCCTCTTAGATGAAGAATATCGAAGGTATGCTTTCGACGAAGATCGGTCGGACGAAGATCGGTCTAACGAAGAGGACGACTAAACCCGGTGTAGCTCACATTAGCAACTCATATCGCTGTTACACCCAACGGAAAGACCGTGCGCGACATGCTGTGGATTTTTGCCTGCTCGCGCAAAGTGAAGCGAACTATTTGCATCCTAGTATGAATGCTGTGGAAAGCGTTCTTGGATAAAGTGATGAGAGATAAAAACATCGGAACAGATTTATGCAAAGAGGACTTAGCAAAGTTATTTCCATCTCAATCAGGGGTAGAGTTACGATAGGTCAGTAGAATGGATAGCCTAAGGAAAAAAAGATCGGCTGGCACGGAAATATGAACTGAGTTAATGAAAATTAGTTGTTCGGTTGCATCCCGCTTGAATTGCTTCAGAGCTAGCTTTGTTTCAATACCAATTGCACGCCAAACAAAATGTAAATGCAATGATATATTCGCCATTGAAGTGAAGTTATTTTGGTTTAACATTTGTGACAGAATTTCTAAGTTGTATTGTCCGAACTTGAAATAAATGTCAGAGGCTTTGAGTCGATTTTTTCTTAGAATGTTGCCGCGGGTTAAAGTCGTCCTGCCAATCAGACAAAAGTTGCAAACAGTGCAGGTTCCTACTAACTTTGTCCATTGTAAATAGTGTGTTTGTTCGAAAATGTAGCCGTATCAGAGACTGCCTTTGGAATGATGGTTCAAAAACTTACTCAGTACAAAGTTTTCGTAACCGACGCACTCTGTTCTGCACTTCTAGCAACGCAAAAAAGACTTTTTGGCGACGTAGAGGCAATCGAATTGGCTCTTACCGACTTTAAGGCACGACTCCCCTCCCCCATGCCTCTCGGAGCGAGAAAAAAAGAGAAACGAGATTACGCAAATCAAGGTGAGCCGAAGAGGCTTCGTCATTTATTCCGTAACACTCATGAAAGCATCCTCGTAAAGTAGATTGAACATTACCAAATAACCAGATAGAACGAACTTACTTTGCACCCATATCGATCCCGATCGAGCTCAAATCACGCGATACATTTTGCATCACAACCAAAGTTTCCCATCAGCACAAAACTGACCCATCACTTCTCACTTGACTTAGATGACGAATTCCTCACAGGTTGTCAAACTCAACAACAGTCGTTTTAAGACCAGTTCTCACTAGGACAATCGGACTTCGCGATAGACATTGATTCAAACCATTTTCTGGTCAACTGAAATCTTTTATTGATGTTTATTATAGTTTTTCAAACATTCCAGGTAAGATATATAAACGGCTAACAACAAGAGTTTACATCAGAATTGAGGATTGCTTAAATCGTCTCGAAACAAAAATTAATCACTCAAATCAGAAAATATTTACTCCAGAAATAAACAACAAAATTTGTTCATACAATTTCAATATAAAGAGTAAAAAATTTCTTTTACTAAAAAAGAATGGTTTAGAAATGAAAGCAGATCACTTCAATAATACAAGGCAATTTTATTTACAAAATTTCAGATTAAATACTTGAATACGTTGCTTGTTCTTTAATCCTTTAACTCCCATGGCTGACCAAGACAGAATTTCTCCTTACAATATCAACACAATATCAATCAGATAAGTGATGAGAATAAAGAAAAATGTCAATATGAGGATAATTAGTTGATCCAATACTAAATTCTCTGAACTAACAATACAAGAATCATATTGTTGACAGTAAGAAGAATTACAAGTTTGACGTGGGAGTTAAACAGGGTTAAGGGTTAAACAGTAAGCCAATTTCTCCGTGTTAATCACTACTATCACATAAGATTTTCCAAGCTTTTCCTTTTTTTCTTTTCGTTCTTTCTTTTTTTTAATTTTTATCAGTTTTTCTATATCCTTCGTTTAACAACATTTTGACGAGAGGGATTTTTTAAGCAGTCATTGAAGCGGGAAACATCTTTTTCCAGGAGCGACAATTGACCTTCTGCAATTTTTCGTTCACTCCTGGGTTGCCTCTCTCTCCTTTGCTGAGCCTCCTTTGGATATTCCTGACGGAATAGTGATTGAAAAAGAGTTAACGCTATTAACTCTTAAGACCTCCAATGCGGCTTCGATCAAGTCTTTTCTTAGACTGGACCAGCGTTCTCCGCAAATGTCCTGCTTTACGGGCATCTGTACATCTTATGTCTGAGCGACGTCGCCGTTACAGTTTTTCTGACAATAGGTGGTTGAACTCACGGTCGATGAACCGTTAATTGGCTCAACACTCACATGACAGTCGCCATTTTCAGTTTCCACCTCTGTCTTTTCTGTCGCCGTATTCTCATATTCTTGATGTTTTATCTTTTTTCGGTTTGATCTCTCATATTCCTTGGGTGACGTTTGAGGTGTTTTCACTTTATATGTTGTATCAAAAGACGATAGGTCTGTTCTGTTATCACGATGCAGAGAGATTGGGAGAAACCGCCGACCCCAACGAATTTCATCTGCTAAGAATGAAGTCTTTGCCTGGGTAACCATGCTCGTTGATTCCACAACGCCCTCTAAGACAGCAATGAATTCCATACGGGAATTCGCAAGCTCTTGCGGCCCAAGCTCGTACAGCGGACTGCGCTCGTCAATGACATGCACTACTGTCAAGGGAAGTAACAGAAACGGTTTGATGAGTTCGCCGACCTCGCTCCCATGCTCAGTTGTGATGGGAAGTTCCGTTTGGGAGAATAAAATTTCCTCCCCAGTCTTTGTGGTCCGAAAGCAAAAGCAGTGAAGAGATATTGCCACATCTAACAATTGGCTCTTGCGCGCGTCGCCGACCCGAAACATCAACGACAAGAGTCCATCGTATGGCGCCACGACTGCGTGCTTCGAGAAAATGACCGTTTGGCCCCTCGGACGAGGTCGGGAAAGTTTGGCGAAAACGAGGCCAAGCAGTGACGTAGACAAAAGAAAGCCGGTGAGAGACTGGAGCAGAAGACAAATCACGGCCTCAGGGCATTGTGGGGTTATCTGCGGTAAAAGAAAAAAATTAATGATGAACACTTTTTTTTGCATCCGCTGAAAAATTCAAATAAGATAGAAGAGGGTCAGCTTGTCTAATCTCGGTTAGTAAGAGCCACAACTACAAGCTTGACTTCGGCGGAAAAATAAAATCAGTGTTTAGTTTATTGCTCCCAGCTAATCATTATGTCAATACAGTTTAAAATTCGGCGAAATAGGACTGGAGTTAAAAATCTTTATTTATTGCCAGTCAGTTGGTCAGCAATAGAAAATTAAGTTCACACATGTTCCGTCGTATTTCGCTACGTATGAAGCATTCAAGTTAGCCAAATTTCCATTTCTTGGTGTCAGTCGATCCGACCCCATTGATGTGTTCGGAGAGTGTTGTGACCAGCATGTCGACAAAAAGTATTGTGATCAGCATCCTCTCCCGATTTCTTATAGGAAAAGGTTAGACGCGCAAAACTAAGCTTCTTTGACTTTTCAGAGACGTCCGTGAACGGAACGGTCTAAGAAGACGAAATTTCCTCATTAGAGTACTGGAAAAACTGCTCCACCTAAATTGTCAATAGGCTAGCTATGCTTGTGTTTAACAGAGTCTGCTTACGCAGTAAGTATACAAGTTAGTTAAAGAGTGAAATTTCAGCAAAAATCTGACGGCTGAGAGCGTTTAACTTTTGAAGCTGGAAATCAATTTACCTCGCGAAATTTCCCGGCTCACAACAGCGAGAGTAACAACAAAAAAAAAACCGCAGCACGTCTTACCCTTAAAAAAAACAGTTTCTCCTGCCGCTTTATATTAGCCCTCGATTGTGTGCAATACTAGTAAACGCGTCAAGTAACTTACCAAGAGCCTCAGAAGGCTAATTTTAACGCAATTACCAAAGTTCTCACAATAACTAGGTAACTTATATGCTCCTTAGCAAGGAAACAAAGTCTTCATTAAACTGTGCTCCAATAGTGAGGCAAATTTATTGGTTGAAAGAGGCTTTTTTGTCAAAGCAATATTTTACATTGCTGAGAATCGTCACGATAAGAAGTTATTGACGTCATTACGCATCTTTGTATTTCAATATAGAGACACTAGCCTCTTTTATTTTACTCAGTATATTCGTACTTGATATGACTTTTGTTCTCTAGAAAGTTAATCAGTCAGAATTGTCTCTTAACACCAAATAAAGTTAAATGTCTTCGTCAGAGGATACCATCCCCCCTTTTTGATTGCTAAAAGTACCTCAAGCCGGTCAGTATTGGTTTGTGCATAGAATTACAATACACGCATTTCTTATCTAAAAGCTTTCACACTTCCAATATTTCTATGTCCTAGCCACAACAAGTAAACCGGTAATTTTTTTTTAAAGTTAGCTCTGAACAGTCTTTAGCTTTCAAAATTCTAATCAATCACAGGCGACATGAAAAAGTAAAAACTCTTTAAATATCAAGTCTTCCTTTATTTTTCCTAATTTCCACTAATTTAGAGTTTACCGAATAATTATCTTGTCCTTCATCAACGAGAGACGTGGTTTTGTCTCGGAATGTTTCTCTCGACAACCAGTATCAAGTTATACTACTCATTAGAAACGTCATTTTGATTGCTTATCCAATATTCCATAGAGCTCCCAAGCTTGTATGAAGTCAACAAAAGCTGATCATTATTAGTCAGGAGTCACGTCGCGTATTATATAAGAGGATCTCAAACCTGCTGTACTCTTTTATCAGTCAGTTTTTCACTATGATTAGTTGGAGTCCTGTAATAAAACCTGTTTGCGTAGTTTTACGACCTAAAAAACAATTTCGAGGGTCGCGTGATGAATTTAACATTTGTCTAATTAAGAGCATTTTAGGGGTTTTTTAGATTTAAAAGAACCTAGGCAAGGTGTTCTAAACTTTTTGAATGATTAGTCAGTCATTTCTTCTTCCGTTTTCTATTACCGCAACAGATAGTATTTTTCAATTCCGACGCTTACCCTTCGCTCACCTTTGCAGTACTGATTAATCATTGAAATTGACGTAAGTGTTGCAGCCTCAGAATTTTGATGTGCCTTTAGAGGACAGCGAAACTGAAAAAAAGTACACAAAAGAAGAAAATAATACCTGTCGTCCACCATAACCAATGGTAGTTTGAGTTTCCACTGAGAACAAGAAAGCCGATGTCCAAGAATCTACATTGTCCACACAAACGGTCCCATTATCGTAGTGCAAACGGAGCCAGAAAATCGCAAACCAGGCTGTGCCGAAAAACGACCAGCTGAAGATGAAACCAGCTGAGTAAATCGCTATGACCCATCGCCACTTAGCGTCAATTATAGATGTGAAGAAATCTGCCAAAAAGCGTTCTTTCTTCAGCGGAACTCTGTAGGGCCGCAAATTTACTTTGCCATTTTTGTGTAACAAGCGATGGCGATGTGGTCTTGAACGAGAACTACTCCTCTCTGATGAAGATAAATCTGACGAGATAGGATTGGAAGTTATGTTAATTCGAGTATCTTTGGTTTTGTCTGACATATTTTCAAAGGTAGAACTGTCTTGTGGATGCTCAATGCTGTGATGCGCTCGCTCTGCGAACAGCTGAAACAGATCAGAGTTTATGTGCATCACATTGGATATAAATGTCATGAAATCCTGAGGTTTAGCCAATATTTAACCGATATTGTACATTTTTAAAAATAGTGGATTTCTGACGAGTAAAGGCTAAGTGGTCTGTCACGAGGCAGGAACATGTTAAATTTGGTTAACAAACAACTTGCTTTAGTTAGGACAACATTTTATGACAAAATTTAATTGTATTTGTTTTCAAATCATCAGTGTCGATTATTAATTTAACGGAAAGTTGGTTGTTATGTTCAAATAAGTTCCCAACTTCCTTACAAAGGTTTAGCATAAATTTATGATGAAATTGGACCGTCCTTCGGAGTTTTTGCATTTTTTTACCCCTTTTGCGTATTAAGGAATTTTACATGGGAAATGACAGTTTTCTCTGACGTTAATTTGAAGATAACACAAAGCACAGTCTGCATGATGCAGATTCCAGCAAAATTCAATTGAATTATTTACGCGACATGTTTGTTTGATTCACGACAACAATCACATTTATTCTTTGATAAAACCTTTAACTCTCAGGATCCGACTTTCAATTTTCCAGATAGCCATTCTAAATTTCTTTATAAATTAGAAAAAAGAAGCTTGGTATTCATCTAGATGAGGTCTCTTTGCTCCATATAAGCTGTTGTGTAATCCTCTGTTCAATTCTTATAAGGAGGCTAAATGAGTCAGAAATGTCAGCCGATACTAAACACCTTGAAAAACGCCCGCGACAAGTTATGGAGTAAGCTGGCAGACAAAAAACTGTAATGAGCACCTTCATCGGTGGCCATTAATGAATGATAGAGCAATACGACAAATCAGACAACTAAGTTCAGGGTTCTCAGTCTTACCGGTTCAAAAAGAAAAAAGCTGAATTCATCGTGATTCAAGTTCTCTAGAGGTCGTCTCTCCATGTTGAGACAAGTTAGAACTGAACATCACAGATCTAAAGACGAAATGTTTAACCTACTCAGTCACCATAAGCATCGTCCTTATGGCTAATTGCAAAATTCGCCGATTTTAAGCCCACAACAGGCCTCCAAAAAATACTGGGCCAACATTGTAGTCCAATATTAGTGAGGTGATGGTGCTCATGCGTTTTGTTTTTTTTCCTGGTGATTTCAGTGAAGTTATAACCACGCGAGTCAGCTTTGCAGTAAACACTTCTAAAAAACAAATTGCAGGTTCTGATAATTAAAAGGGATTCTCGAACAGCATGCACAGAATTTATCTTGAGATTGGAAGACGGAATACCATTTTGAAATCCTGGGATTATTCCTTGGAGAGACTTGGAGTCCACTCGTAAGGAATGTTAAAACCTACCATGCCAAATAATTAACACTCTAGTTCATTAATTGCTATACAAAAATGCAGTATTGCAGAATACCTTGGAAAATCAGTGCACAGCTACAGAGGGCTATATCGGTTTTTTTAAAGAGGATTTCAAGTGACGGTACGTGCGTGTTATCAAGAAGTTTACTTTTCATTGAAAGTAGAAATTCTGGAACATACCATTCGAAAGTAATCTTTTTTCACGCTTCGAGAGCTTCCAAGAGCAAAGCTGGACTGCGTTCCAGGACTCCATTTCACTTTTCTCGGCAAGCACCATAAGATAAAGTGGCTATGTACTTTGAACTTCATAATAAAAGAGCGTATTGCATATTGCTCATTGTGATCGTTTTTGACACTGCCTTTTTCGTCCTTGATTAAAAGATTATTTTTATCATTGCGAGTCTCCTGTGTACAATTAAGCTTTCCACTACTCAACCGCACAGATATATTCAATGATAAAAGCTTTCTTCAGATGAAACAAAACTTCAGAGAACACATAACATATTTTTAATTTCGCTTTATAATATATCCGTCCTTTATTGTGGTCATCACCTTGAATCACCGAAAGCACAGATTAATATACTTATTACCGTTTTCAACGCAGAAAGTGAGTAGAACGAACCGCATTCGAAACTGCCAAATTTTTGTAGTTAGAACTATCTCTCTAGTTATCTTCATTAGTTTGTTTTTATTTCCTCTTTCGCAAACACCAATGACAAATTATCACTATATTGTGGCATATTTGAAAATTTTAGTTCAAGTTTAACTTAAGACTGAAAAATTAAGAAAACAATTCTTTCTCCAACCGAATCGGTCTAGTTGAAGCACTCATGTAACCTGCCCACCTACCATGTAATCATGGATTTAATAAGATGTCCCCTACAAAAACTTGATTTAAACTTCCCTGCTCATGAATCGAAAATCGCAAATATTTCTCCCTTATATTGCTTTGCACGCTACCTTTTGTTGATTTTATCATATCCTGTATGATTCAACGAACGTAATGGAATTGCTATCGAATTGACCCAAAACATATTTTTGACAAAACGCAGACAAAACATGACAATTTGCGGATGCCGAGATGACCAAATTATGTAAAGCAGAAAATTTTTTAAAGAGGCAAAAAATAATCCTTATACCGCAAAACAACAAAAAAACAACAATGGTTTCAGAACCACACGAAATACACACTTTTTAAAGAATTCAGTCAATGATTTAAAAAATTGTAATTCCAAGTTATGTTTGTGTTTTACATGCAAACAAGGCTAAGCACGATTAACCAGCCGCTGTTCAGAAAACGAGCCTGCGCTCGCTCCCTTCCCAGGAGGATGGAAGACCTAATCGACCTTGATATGGGAAAACAGCAGAACACGAGCGGAAGTTGACTGAGTGTACATGTGAAGTATCAAGTAACGTAGATTACAAGGGTTTGAAAGGAAATTTTATCTGACATAGATAAACCACTAATTAAACTTGGCTAAAATCGCGCTATCAGGAGTAAACGCTAAGATTAAACACAATCAAGAGAAAATGATGACGCAAATGCCGTATCTAATGCTGTATTCCACTTACAAGGGTTGTGATTGCTAAATCTCCCATTCAAACCTTCATAATTATGATGCACTGAAAAAACTAAAACGCATCGCGACTTGATCACTCTCCTTTTCCCGTTTTTTTCGGTTCTTTGTATTTAGAGTTCTGATTGACTTCTTTAGTTATTTTCCTCTCATTGACTTTTTTGATTGCTTTGTCATGGATTCACTACGACCGAATCAATCGACCAGCGCTCTATTTCATGATCCTCAGGGTCTGCTTGTTCAACTGAAATCTTGGAAAACGTTAATAGATGCTCTTTTATCCTTTGACTCATAAGAGTGACTAACATCTAGTTTCTCCTCACAAATCACCCTCTAATCACATATAAAGGTCACGAGAATGACCGAGGAAGTAGTCTTGTACCCAGACCTTCCACTGACACACGTTGGTTACATTTCAGTTACGCTCTTGATTGTTAAACAAATTCTCCTTATCAAAACCTTAAAAAATGTATAGCGAACAGTACGGAGAATATGTGTACTAACTTAAGTGTGTTAGGGGTTAAATAACTCGTATTTTTTTTTTTTTTTTTTTTTTTTTAATAACTTTATGTTAGCGTATAAAGTGGTATGTTGCTCGCGCCAATCAGATCGCCGCATTACGGAACATCTCGCATTAATCAGATTGCCGCATTAGGATATGTATCTCGCACCAATCATATCATAGCATTTGAATATCTTGCACCAATCACAGTGTTTGGGTATTATTTTCTTGTAAATGATGTCATGGATCATGGGGCTGTGCACAAAGAATGACATTAACCAGAAATTTTGGGCTCATTTGATAAGTGTAATGGTTTCTGGCCTTCTCGAGAGCCTCGTCGATTAAGGTCGAGATGTATCGTAATATGAAAGGTACGCATTTAAATTTTTAAGGTAAAAAGTGTTTTTTCCTCTCCTTTACTCGCAACACACACGCCAAACAACTTACATTCTATCACGTACCAAGAAAACAACGTCCAAAGTCCAATCAGAACATACTTAATTATTGCACTACATAAATATTAGGCAATTTTTCACGTGCTTGAATTATATTCTACCAATCAAATTTCATTGAGCCACATTGGACTTTGCTCTATCACGTGTCATTTTCTTGTGAAGAACCCGCATTTTATCATGTATTCTAACTGCATTTTCCAACCCCACTGAAAAAAAATTCACATGGAACTAAATGCTACTGATATTGAGTTTTCCACGTAATTCTCCCGCGTTTGACTTTTCCCACGAATTAAAGTCGCTTTAAGCTACCTTGGACTTAACTCAATTGCATGTTAATTCCTTGTAAAAAAAACCCTGCATTTTATCATGTAAATCACACATTGAGGGCAAAGTCCGGATAGGCAACAACCAATCAAGGAGCCTTCTTTGAAATATCATCCTATTCCCTTGTTCAATGTATTTTCACTTATTCGAGATCGCAATATATATTTGGTTAGGTTCTATTAGAGGTACAACAGAGTTTCAGTTTGCTTTTCGTAGTAAAATTACGCGGAATTATATTTTTGAGGTAACTTAATGTAGACGAATAATTTTGATGTTCTCTTTGTTGGAGGAACGGCAGTAAGCGTAGTCTCTTTCGCAACCGTTATTTGGTCTCGTCACGCAACGCGCTCTCTTTGAAACGGGAAATAGAGGGCGTTGTGTGACGAGACCAAACAACAACTGCGAAGGAGACAACAGTAAGGGCGGCATGATGCATTTCATTTTTAGTTAGAAGTATTTAGACAATGACAGTACATCACATAAAATCTGTGTGAGTTCAGATAAATTAAGTTTTTTTCTGTCTTACTGCGATATTTTCGGTTTTTAAAAGTCATGCTCTTTTCGATGACAAAAATAAAAACACTAAGTACACAAACTGTCCTTTCTTAACCCACCCAGCCAAAAAAATGACTCTTGCATACTACGCATGCCTATGTTTAACCTAAGTCACCGTGAATGAATCTACTTCTCACGCTTAATTAAACTTACACATAACGTAAAACGTAGCACCTTTAATTTAACATTTTACGACAATTTGTGTTAGGGAGGTCCACCCAACCTTGTTTGCGAGAATCGGCTGTGAGGGACTGGATCGGCTTGTTGCTTTAAAGTGCTAATTATTTTTTCGAATTTAAGTCTTTGCAGTACATAATGGCTGAATTGGAAGCATTAGTTCGTGTGTTATTCCATGGTTTTCCAGTTTATAGACGTTACGTAGAATCTGCTAGGAAGAACTTTGAATTAAATCATAAGTATCACTCTACCGATGAACTCCGCTTCGTTTTCACTGGAAGCTTCCGAGAAGGGTATCCGGATACTTTGTTCAGTGATACCGACGCCATGGTAATTTTGAACCCTTCCACAGAGATCTGGTCCTCGGAGACTCAAAGTAAAGTTATTCAGCCTGTTAGTGAAGCGCCAGCCCACGTCAAGCTAATCATTCCTCCAGGTTACAGTGAGCGCTTCGAAGCGGAAAACCCTACAATTTCAACCTTCCTTGGTCTTGTGGAAGCTGAACAAGATTGTTGCTTTGTGTCAGCTGAGATTGCGAGAAAACTTAACGAGCGAGACTTTCTTCACGAGTTTATGGCTGGCCAAAAGCCAAGTGCTAATTGGACTGCTCCATTAGCGGGCGCTGAGGGCAAAATTTCGGTTTCTTACACCTTTCGTTCGCCGTCAAAGGTTAATGTGAAAGCGACGAGCCATCATGGATTTGTGGAGTCCGATCGTGTACCAGCAATCGAGTGCACTGGATGGCCGACAAATGCTTACGAATGGAAAATTAGACAGCCAAGAAACTGGCCCAGTGCTGATGTGGTGGAAAATATTGCCTCCAGTGGCTTTATGATTGTACCAAAGCCTTCCGACCTTTCAGGAGACATCAGGAAAGAATGGCGACTTTCGTTCTCGAACCCGGAAGCGGAACTTTTCAAGTGGTTTACAGAAGAGCAATCCAAAGTTTACTACTTACTACGTTCGTTGTATGCGAGGCACTTCAAAGAAAAACTAGGAGGAGTATTAACTTCCTATCACTTTAAAACAGTGATGTTTTGGACACTCGAAGAAGAAGATCCCAGCCTTTGGCCTAAGGAAAGTACCTTGAATCTATTGCTGCGGGTTCTTAAGAAGCTCTTACGATTTATTCAGGACGGGTTTTGTCCTCATTTCTTCATCCGCAATCACAATTTGTGTTACAAAACATCGAAGGTTGCGCTTGAAGATGCTGCGACAGAAATTTCTCTCTTTTTTCAGGATCCTTTGATTGCGTTTGGAAAGGTTGTAAATGAGGAGTTTCTGGGGTTGATACCTCGCCTTGGCCTTTTAACAGTGGAAGTTGAAGGAAAATTGGAAAATAAAACTACAGGCCATGCCTCCTTCATGAATCTAGAAGGGCATAGAGATGTAGAACTAGAGTGTTTGTGGGAGACCTTGGAAGATACTGCCATCTCTATCAAAGCATTTCCAGATGGAGTTGCCCTTCTCGAAGTGTACGTTGATGCTCTTGCACAGGGTCACCAATTTGCTTTTATCATGGGGAAAAGTGAGAGCGAACTTTCCAAGATCAAGGTTACTTCAGTGCAAGAAGATTTCTTTGAGATGGACATGGCACAAATGAATCAGTCTTTGTTGTTGTGGCTTGAGCTGGGTAAGATTGCTGTTGACCTTACTTCCAAAGGGACAAATGACAAACTGTTTTCTTTCCTTTGCAAGGTCCATATATTTTTGAGAGAGCAGAATGGCCCTCTTGATGAGGAAGGAAAGGAAACTATGGATCTTATCCAAGGAGTTTGTTGCACCACGGGGGCATTCTTAGCTACAGTCAATTTTGATGCAAAGAACATTTCATATCAACAGCTGCATGAACTGGTTTGCGACTTCCTTCCAATCAATGGGAATAGTGCCCAGTCTCCTTGTAACATTATTCTTGCTCTCTTTGTACTTAGTGGTGCAACCTGTAAGATGGCAAAAAATTTTCTAGATTAGAAAGCTCATTACTGCTATTATAAGTTGAGTGCCGAATGGTAAAAATTTGGTGAAGGAGTTTTGAACCTAAAGTTATGATGTTGTTACAGGAAATATTCCTCATTTGTAGCAGTAAACAAATCTCAAGAACTGTGAGTTGCCAACTGTTAAAAGTAAAAACCTGTTTAAAGAGGTTAAACAAGATGTTGCCATGGGAAACAGAGCCAATTTCCCCTGACAAAAACACCATTTTTATGTCCAAATGTGGTTGCCATACCCTACTGTACCTCACTCAACTTAAAATTGTTATATTTAGGATGAAAATTCCAAGAGGGGGTGGAAGAAATTTGAGCAACAGAGGAAGCCTCCCCCCTAACCCACCAGTAGGACAGCAAGGCACATCAAGGGATAATAATTCTTTTTTTCTTTATCTAAACATAGTTTTCATTGTTTTCCCCAAAAGCACCCAGGCTCAATGAGGGGAATTGTTCATGTCTTACATTTGTCATTTCTAATAACAAGAAATGCCTATTGCATTAGCTGTTTAATCAGGATTTTCATGCAACCTCTTTTGTGAGTATCAGTAAGCTTTCTATTATAAATTTTCATTTGTAATGAAGAAAGCATATTTGAGATAAGAAAGCTCCAAAAACTAAACAAGAGACTGATGGTACCAATGTCTCCTAAACACATATCATGCAAATATCCCAACTCTCTTCCTTCCATGATCATAAACTGAAATAAACTCTGTACCATATCATTTAACCCTTTAACTCCCACAAGTGATTGACATGGATCTTCTCCCTATAATATCCATACATTATCTTGCAAACAGGTAATGAGAATACTCAGACTTATCAGGTAGAAGTTGTTAGCTTGATATATCACTAAATTCTCATAACTTATTTACAGGGAAATATATAGCAACTAGAGGGGAGAATTAACAATCAGATTTTGGGAGTTGAAGAGTTAATCTAAGGGATTGTGACTGAGATTTTACTGTGTTGACATGTATAGGCATTTTGAATTTTCTGCATTCCAAGGGTTAATGATTAGAAAGACTGAGTCTTGAAATATTTCCACACCTTACTGTCCAACTGCAGAATTCATAAGACTGACATTTGCTTCACTAAAGCAACAACTGATTAACATCACATACACTTTTGTTCAATGGCTGAATTTTTACTGAATTAGGGACACAAGTCCCCAAAAACTTAACATTTAAAAAATTCTCATCGGAGCCAGAGGTAGTATCAGCCATCAACCGTCATTAACATTTAACCCCAAAAAGTAACTAGCTTTTAATTTTTCCTTTGAGTATCACCTTTGAATTGTGAGAATAAATGAAATGATCTAGAGCTAAATAAGCCCTTGATCATGAAACTAAAACTCTTTGTCAGTACCAAAGGGAATTTATACAGAACAGTTTGAAATAATCCTTATACCACAGGACAACAACAAAACAACAATGGTTTCAGAACCATACAAAATACACAATTTTTAAAGAAACGAGTCAATGATTTCAAAAATTGTAATTCCAAGATATTTTTATGTTTTTCCTGCAAACACGACTAGGCACGATTGACCAGCCGCTGTTCAGAGAATGAGCCTACGCTCGCTCCTTTCCCAGCCCCCACCCAACTTCAATGGAAGATGGAAGACCTAATCCAACCTGATCTGGGAAAACAGCAGAGCACGAGCGGAAGTTGAATGAGTGTACATGAAAAGTATTAAGTAATGCAGATTACGAGGGTTTTAAAGGAAATTTTATAAGACATAGATGATCCACACCATTTAACTTGGCTGAAATCGCACTATCATGACGACTAAACGCTAAGATTAAACACAATGAAGAGAAAATGATGACACAAATGCCGTATCTAAATGCTGTATTCCACTTACAAGGGTTGTGACTGCTAAATTTCCCATTCAAACCTTCATAATTATGATGATCTGAAAATACTAAAACGCATCGCCACTAGAGCACTCTCCTTTTCCCGCTTTTTTCGGTTCTTTGTAATTAGAGTTCTGATTGACTTCTTTAGTTATTACTGGGATACCTGTGGTAGCCCAGTCATATTACACCTTTGTTTTTTTGTCCTTTTTTTTTTTTTTTCCTCCGCCACAAAATGGAAAAATTGCGCAATAGTACCCAGTGGTCATTGGGCCCTCAAATCCATGACAACTAAATGTGATCCAATAAGGTTTTCACATGCTGATCACGCGTGTTATCTTGATGATGATTGACGCTGTCATGCACGGACAGAGCCGGGTCACATGACGAACTACGAGATTTTTGCTTATAAAACTCTGTTGTCGGTTGTTTTGTATTTCAACGTGTTTGGATTACGATCACCTGGAGCATTATGGCACAATCGCTCAAAATACTTACAGACGCATACACAAGTCGCATTGTTCGCGGTCAATCGACACTAAAAGATGTTACTGAGCGGTAATTTTGGACCGGATTGAGTCGCGAACGCTTGAAAGCCATGAAAGCCTTGAATGCCTTGTATGCCTTGTATGCCTTGTATGCCTTGTATGCCTTGTATGCCTTGTATGCCAAGTATACCAATTTATTAGCAGGTATTTTAGTGTTAACAACTGGGTTGAAAACGTAAATTAGCCACCGTAAAGGGTAAAAAAGCTGACGTTTCGAGCGTTAGCCCTTCGTCAGAGCGATAGATCTTTAGAAACTTACCCCTTTATACCAATTTATTAGTCGAAAAACATACACTTGTTGTTAAAAAAGCAAAATCTGAAATCTGAGCCCAAACTGCATATACTCTATGCAATCTATTGAACAACACTACTACCGTGAGACTAAAGAACAAAACTCTAATTGATGCAAACTGCTTGTGAAGAAAGACGCCATGCTGGATTCACAAATCTCGTGTTCGTCATGTGACCCGGCCCTGTCCGTGCATGACAACGTCAATCATCATCAAGATAGCACGCGTGATCAGCATGACGACAAAAAAACAAAGGCATTTTATGACTGGGCTACCACAGGTATCCCAGTAAAAATAAAAACATTACACATAAATTTCGGTTCCTTACACATAAAAACATTACACATAAATTTCAGTTTCTTACACCTTTTCGTTCGCTTACACTTACATATGACGTAAAACGTACCACCTTTAATTTAACATTTTACGACAATTTGTGTAAAAGGAAGTCCACCCAACCTTGTTTGCGAGAATCGGCTGTGAGCGACTGGATCGGCTTGTTACTTAAAGAGCTAATTTGTTTTTTCGAGTTTAAGTCTCTGCATTACATAATGGCTGATTTGGAAGCACTAGTTCGTGTGTTATTCCATGGTTTTCCAGTCTATAAAAGTTACAGAGAATCTATAAGGCAGAAGTATGAATTGAGACATAAGTATCACTCGACTGATGAACTCCGCTATGTCCTCACAGGAAGCTTCCGAGAAGGGTATCCGGATATTGTTTTCAGTGATGGCGACGTCATGGTGATGTTGAACCCTTCTACAGAAATCTGGTCCTTGGAGACTCAAATTAGAGTTATGCAGCCTGTTAGTGAAGCGCCAGCCCACGTCAAGCTAATCATTCCTCCAGGTTATAGGAAGCACTTCGAAAAGGAATACCCTACAGTTTCAAACTTCCTTGGTCTTGTGGAAGCCGAACAAGATTGTTGCTTTGTGTCAGCTGAGACTGCGAGAAAACTTAACGAGCGAGACTTTCTTCCTGAGTTTATGGCTGACCAAAAGCCAAGTGCTGAGTGGACTGCTCCATTAGCGGGCGCTGAGGACAAAATTTCGGTTTCTTACACCTTTCGTTCGCCATCGAAGGATATTCTGGAAGGATCTGCGGAGTCCGACCGTGTACCAGCGATCGAGTGCACTGGATGGCCGACAAATGCTTACGAATGGAAAATTAGACAGCCAAGAAACTGGCCCAGTGCTGATGTGGTGGAAAATATTGCCTCCAGTGGCTTTATGATTGTACCAAAGCCTTCCGACCTTTCAGGAGACATCAGGAAGGAATGGCGACTTTCGTTCTCGAACCCGGAAGCGGAACTTTGCAAGCGGTTTACAGACGAGCAATCCAAAGTTTACTACTTACTACGTTCGTTGTTTGCGAGGCACTTCAAGGAAAAACTAGGAGGAGTATTAACTTCCTATCACTTTAAAACAGTGATGTTTTGGACACTCGAGGAAGAAGATCCCAGCCTTTGGTCTGAGGAAAGTACCTTGAATCTATTGCTGCGAGTTCTTGAGAAGCTCTTACGATTTATTCAAGACGGGTTTTGTCCTCATTTCTTCATCCGCAATCACAATTTGTGTTACAAAACATCGGAGGTTGCACTTGAAGAAGCTGCGACTGAAATTGCTCTCTTTTTTCAGGATCCTTTGGTTGCGTTTAGAAAGATTGTAAACAAGACGTTTCTGGGGTTGATGCCTCGTCTTGAGTTTTTAACAGTGAAGGTTAAAGGAAGATTAGAAAAGGAAATTATGGGCCTCCCCTCCTTCATGAGTTTAGAAGGGCATGGAGATGTAGAGCTAAAGTGTTTGTGGGAGACCTTGGAAGATACTGCCATCTCTATCAAAGTATCTCCAGATGGAGGTGCCCTACTCGAAGTGTACGTTGGTGCTCTTGCACAGGGTCACCAATTTGCTTTGCCGGGGATAACTGAGAGCGAACTTTCCAAGATCAACGTTACTTTAGTGCAAGAAGATTTCATTGAGATGGACATAGCACAAATGAATCAGTCTTTGTTGTTGTGGCTTGAGCTGGGTAAGATTTCTGTTGACCTCATTTCCAAAGGAACAAATGACAAACTGTTTTCTTTCTTTTGCAAGGTCCATACATTTTTGAAAGAGCAGAATGGCCCTTTTGATGAGGAAGGAAAGGAAACTATGGATCTTATCCAAGGTGTTTGTTGCATTGCGGGGACATTCTTAGCTACAGTCAATTTTGATGCAAAGAACATTTCATATCAACAGCTGCATGAACTGGTTTGTGACTCACTTCCAATCAATGGAAATAGTGCCCAGTCTCCTTGTAAAATGATTCTTGCTCTCTTTGTACTTAGTGGTGCAACCTGTAAGATGGCAAAAAATTTTCTAGATTAGAAAGCTCATTACTGCTATTATAAGTTGGGTGCTGTATGGTAAAAATTTGATGATGGAGTTTTGAACCTAAAATTATGTGGTTGTTACAGGAAATATTCCTCATTTGTAGCAGTAAACAAATCTCAAGAACCGTGAGTTGCCAACTGTTAAAAGTAAAAACCTGTTTAAAGAGGTTAAACAAGATGTTGCCGCTGGAAACAGAGCCAATTTCCCCAGACAACAACACCATTTTTATGTCCAAATGTGGTTGCCATACCCTACTGCACCTTGCTCAACTTAAAATTGTTACATTATTAGGATGTAACCAGAAAATTCCAAGAGGGGGTGGAAGAAATTTGAACAACAGAGGAAGCCTCCCCCCTCACTCACCAGTAGGACAGTGAGGCATATCAAGGGATAATAATTATTTTTTTCTTTGTCTAAACATAGTTTTCATTGTTTTCCCCAAAAGCACCCAGGCTTAATGAGGGGAATTGTTCATGTCTTACATTTGTCATTTCTAATAACAAGAAATGCCTGTTACATAAGCTGTTTAATCAGGATTTTTATGCAACTTCTTTTGTGAGTATCAGTAAGCTTTCTATTATAAATTTTCATTTGTAATGAAGAAAGCATATTTGAAATAAGAAAGTTCCAAAAACTAAACAAGAGACTGATGGTACCAATGTCTCCTAAACACATATCATGTAAATATCCCAACTCTCTTCCTTCCATGATCATAAACTGAAAAAAAACTCTGTACCATATCATTTAACCCTTTAACTCCCAGAAGTGATTAACATGGAACTTCTCCCTATAATACCCATACATTATCCTGCAAACAGGTCATGAGAATACTCAGACTTATCAGGTAGAAGTTGTTAGCTTGATATATCACTAAATTCTCATTACTTATTTACAGGGAAATGTGTAGCAGCTAGAGGGGAGAATTAACAATCAGATTTTGGGAGTTGAAGAGTTAATCTAAGGGCTTGTGACCGAGATTTTATTGTGTTGTCAAGTATGGCCAATTTGAATTTTTTGCATTCCAAGGGTTATTAATGAGAAAGACTGAGTCTTGAAATATTTCCACACCTTACTGTCCAACTGTAGAATTTCATAAGAATGAAATTCGCTTCACTAAAGCAACAGCTGATTAACATCACATACACTCAATGGTTGAATTTTTACTTAATTAGGGACACTAGTCCCCAAAAACTTTACTTTAAAAAAATTCTCATCAGAGCCTGAGGTAGTGTTAGCTATCAACTGTAATTAACATTTAATCCCCAAAAGTAACTAGCGTCTAATTTTTCATTTGAGTACCGCCTTTGGATTTTGAGAGTAAAGGAAATTATCTACAGCTAAATAAGCCCTTGATTGTTAAACAAATTCTCCTTGTCAGTACCAAAGGAAATGTATAGAGAACAGTTTGGAGATTGGAGAATATTCATACTAATGTTAGGAATGTGAAGGATTTACACCAAACACATATTACTCAATTTAACAATGTCTTCCTTTGCTATTTTGATTAAGATACAACAGGTTAACTCTGGAGTCTAAAACTATTACAATAACTTTAGCCATTTTCATTAAATGATCAAATAGGCTGTTTAGTACCATGAAATAATCTCTGTGGGAACAACAAACATCAAGGCGATCAAATTATATTCATGTTGAAAGCGACACGGAGGAAAAACTGTGTCACGTCAATTTTCATTGAGAGCAGTTAATCACATCGCAAATCTGTTCCTCTGATGACGTCATGGTAATCGCTCGTCCCAGTTTCTGTGGAACGCTAGGTATTAGAGTTGACGGGGATTGTTAAAAATGTGGAAACGCGAGGGTTTTTAGCAACCATCGCCAATTTTTTAACGCAGTTTATTAGAATAATCACAATATCTAATATACTGAGGTGAAGTTGAGGTCAGTGGCCCATTTAAAATATACGCCAATCACTCATTCATATTTTTATGCGAGACAAGCTTGGTGTAGTGCTGGCTTTTTCCTTCACCAAAAACACAACTCCGCCTAAAATAGGCTCCTAGCTCCGCCCAATCCAAGTTGGGCTGACTTACCGTTGTCTCAAAATTTTACCGCAAAAATTCACAGACTAGAAAAGAAAAACTACCCAAGTTCCTTGATGTGACCACTGCTTCTTTGGTCTAAGCAGCTCTATATGTCCAGACGAGAAGGGGGAATTGGGCACGGTGGTTGCAGGTGACACTTATTCGTATTTGCTAAACGACAAACTCTTTTTTTTAGGCAAAACGAAACAGAACAAGAAATACCATTAAATTTTTTTGCTATTTTTCATTCATTTTTATCATTCGAGGTTTATCCTCCTGTTTTTAGTCGCCAGTGAGCTTCTATCTTTTGTGCATTACCCAGTCTCTCTTAGATTAACTGGCGGCCATTAAAAGTATATGCATTTTCCTTTCTCTTTTCAAGAAGCCCACGTGACACCCATCGGATGGAACTCTTTGCAGTACTGTTGTAGTTCAATCAAAGCGCCGATGAAACTGTGAGCCCATTCAGTGTGCAATGGATTTCTGTAAACAAAAACGATCACTTAATTTTGGAGTCTATCTTCAATTTGTCCTCTAAATAACTTCCTGACTAATTTCAATTTTTACGATACATACTGTTTGAAGTCCTTCAAAACTCGGTTTGTGTAGAAAACTGCTCCATCTTTTCTGTCCCTCACAAAAATATCTGGCTTTCCGGGCTTTGAGAGTAAAAAAAAGTAGATTTGTATCAAAAGGCGCACTGTCTCTCATATTCTTTCAGTTCCCTATCTGGGCAACATCTTGACGGCTCTTTATTTGCATCCTCCACGCAGTAACTGTTCAACAAAAAGCGCTACATCAAAACGCTGTAGACATACGTAAACATAGTCTTACCGCTCCAACCCATAACAGTGCATCCATTCCCTCACTGACCGCTGACAGATGATTGAACTGCTTGCTGGAACGGTTACGGTCACGGAAAGCCTGGAAGAAGTAAAGCCTTTCAGTTGAACATCTAGAGAGCTTTTCGATCGAGTGTCGTATACAAAGCCTATCAGTTGAACATCTAGAGCGCTTTTCGATCGAGTGTCGTAAAACCAAAACCAAAGTTATCACAACAACAAATCAGAAAAAAGGAAGATATCCTTAAATGACAATGAGAACTCAATGTAAAACAACCACACTTCCAAAGCGCGGGAAAACGCGGGCGACCAAGTCGTGATTGGTTTAGGTTTGCATCTGATTAGTTGAGGGAGTGGCGCGACCAATCACAAGCAGAGTGAAGCAAAACCAATACAATCGGATTATTTTGCTCTATGAGGTTTGATCCTGGCCGGACTCGTAGACCTTTGCATGAGAGACGTCTCCTGAGCTGGTCTTGTACTCCTATGACCAACTTTTTAAACTAGCCTGGGTTCACTTTTTTAAAACTTGAAACGTTCTCTTTAAAAGACATACTCCTGTTTCGAATACGGAAGTAGTTGAATTTTTGTTAGATCGTCTGTGCGATAAAAAAAGGCAAGACAAAGAGGTCAGCCGGGCTCTGGGAACGAACGGAGGTTTATTTTCAGGGACTTTCGCACGAAATTGCGTGGGGGAGGGGGGGGAGGGGAGGTAAGACGGACATATCTCAGCCGACACCCTGATTCAGAAATGAACCAAGGAAATTGCAAGCAACGTCCAGGGAAATAAAACAGGAAAATGAACGCGTAAATGATTAAAAAAATACCTCCACTTCCTCTCTACACTGAGCAATGGGTTTAACCATGGAGGCAAGTTCATTCTGAAATAAAAATAAGCAAACTATTCAAGATACTTATTCACGTGTCATTAAAGGAAAATTAATAATATTCTAAGGAAAATATTAGCAAATACATTTGCAAAGTAAAATATACAAATATATGTGTAAAATTCTCTTACTGCCAAGATCGAACGATCAATTCTTAACACTGTCTGTCATACATCTTTTATAATTCTGACTCTGAGAATTAAATTGTTTTAACATTTTTAGTTGAAATTCCTTTTTGGTCCAATCTGAGGCTGAATTAATTTTTAATACTAGTTTTTCTTTATCCTCCAATCGTCTTCTACCCGTTTTAGATCGTAGGCTGCCTTCTTCATCGCTCCACACCTGACAGAGAAGGGGAGGACAGCAAAGCCACCGGGCGAGAGGTCGATACAGAATCAAATCGATGTCAGTCATTTGAGGTAATATTGACTTTCTACGTTACAGCTTGAAAAAACTCTTAAAAATTTTGTCGTTGCCCTTCTCATGTATTTTGCGTGACATATCGTGACCGCAAGAAGCACTGTCCATTCTCAAAGCTGAAATGTAAATTATCATATCACCGATCCATGCCACGCAAATCTGTGCGCTGTTTTTCTTTTCAAGTTCGTTTAAATGTTTAAATTTCAGTTAATTTTAAAAGGATTCCCTTACTCTAGAAGGTATTTTTGTTTGAGAAGCTTTCATCAGAAAATCCCTCAGTGCTTGAAAAGTGTTTTTGGCTAGATCCACCTAAAAATGAAATCGACACGAGTTTAGTACGTATCTTAGTCACGCAACCATGTTCTGAAAAATTAAATATCCACTCTTACCTGTGCTTTCAAATCGCCTCCTATTTCATTTGATAATTTGAAAAAGACCTGTATCTTCCCCTTGAGAAACTATACGAGAGGTAGTAATAAAATTAAATAAATATCGTTGCGTGAGAAAATTAATCATAGAAGCCTGTAAACAGACGATGAAAGAAAATAACATCCATATTCGCTTTACCTCATCGTAGAACTCAACAATCTTTCCAGATCCTGCCGAACGGAGGAATAAGTTCAGTAAAAACTCGGTTGTTTTATTTTTCTTTTAAGAAAATAATTGAAAGCTCTTTCCCCTTAGTCACCTTCGCCGCTCGCTCCAGATTTTAGCTGTTCGAGTTTTCCTGCCACGTTTTCGAGACGCTCCACTAAAGCCTGTATGTCCGCTTCAGTTCCTCCTTTTTTAATCGAACACTCAGCTAGGCCAAGTTTATCGGCCACTAATTCCAGTCGGGCTAAGACGGCTTCTAGCTTGCTACGAGTCGCTTGATTTGCTGGCATTTTGAGCTGAAGTGAGAAACAGATGTAAAATGAAACAGATGTAAAATGAAAGAGTCACGGTGCATCAATTTCTTTGGCTGATCTCGGGCCAATAGGCGCGGTCGAAGCCCGCGATAAGACTCCTTTTGACTTTGCCAAAATAACTTACTTGGATTTCACATTTAGACCGAAATACTCGTCTTATTTCGCCTGCGCGGACCGCTTCCATAATCTTACGGTCAACACCAACGTTGATGAATAATTTAGGTTTTTTTTTTCGTGAAACCAGCTGCCCAGTTCTGAAGACAACAAAAGGCGCTGGAGATTAAATTCATAAGCCGTCTTCTTTTTGTCTCCAAACAGCAATTCTCTGCATAAACACAGCATGCATTGCAGCACTGGTTTCGTCAAACTTCACAGAACAAACAGAGGTTTGGCGTTTTAAAAGGTTCTAAACGTAAACAGTATAGGGAACAAAAAAAACTTTACTCCATTCAGTAAACATAATGGACTTACTAAAATGAATTTAAACATTTTTTGTTTTCTGCTCTCGAAAAATTTTTAATTCCATTCTTTTCTTTCATTTGCCCACATTTATTTAAATTAAATCAAGCTTATGGGACTGGGTCAGAGGAACCGTCATCCCATTGAGGGCTTGGTACCAATACCAGCTTCGTCTCAGTGCAATGGCTTATGGGAAAATCGTGACGTTAATCATCTGCTTCCTCTTTGTCTTAAAAGACGAGTCATCAACATGGTGAGAGAAATGTGGAATTTCAATCGAGAAAAATTCTGGAGTTATGGAAGTTATATCCATGACACAAAGACTTTATCGGAATAATTTTCTCCTATTTACCAACAGGTTCAATCAGCTTCTTCTACGACAGTCGGATCGGGCAGATCCGGCTCAAAATCGGTTACCCCTCGTTCGTCTGGCGGAACACAAGTAAAACAAAGGTGACAAGACTGCTTTCTTCTTTAAAAACCACGTATTTAAGTATTATTTAGCTTCTCTTGGAAGCCTAACCCTAAGCAATTTGATCCACATTTGTTGCTTTTGCCGGCTTATTTTGTCGTTTCTTAATATTTCGTGTTATGTTTTTTGCGTGAGTTTACAATGAGTTCTTGTTGGGATTTGTATCGGTACAAACCGTTGAGTTGTTTCGGTAGGATGCGACCTTTTACATGTTCTTTAATCCTTAGACGATAATGTTTTGTGCTTTGCTCTACACTTGAAAGTAACGGAATTGTAGTCCCCGATACAAATTTATAGGATATGTAATTTGTGTTTTAAGCTGTTCTAGTTATTACACGTACGCGTAAGCTTAGAACGCATAGATATATAATACCAGACAATACTGGGTGAAGAACGTACTCCTAAAGGGGAATTACTCTCGGATCCAGGTAAAAAAAATGTTAAACAGATGTTGCTGCCAAAAAAATGTATTTCGTCTATCAAAAAATGACCCTTTTGAGAATATAATGACATTATACCTTAGCATGATTGTGTATTTCTCCTCACCATTCTCTTTGCATTTACTAAGGTTCTCACTAGGAGACTGTGCTTAATAATCACGAGCTTGAACTTTCAATCATTTCTTTCATTCTTTTGAACATAATCTTTGATTTGAGTATGGTACTGTTGGGAAAATTATATGCTTATTGCTCTTAGCAGCTAAAGCCACTGTAAGAAAGATTTCACCTTCATTGCAAAATTTTCTGAAAAAGAGACCAGGGAATAAATAAGAATCACCACTGATCTACAATTACTTACTCTCAACAAAACTGGATATATTTTCAAGTTGATGTATTGTCTAGGGACTATTTAATTTCTCCCAAATCAGAATTCCTTCAAAGAGAGATGAAAAAATGGTATTGCTGTTGCTAAAGAGAATGTCTTATTTCATCACAGGAAAGGTGGAAGTGCTGCCCCTGCAGCAAGAACTCGATCAGCAGCCAGTAGTAGTGGAATGTGGAGATTTTACACTGAAGATTCTCCAGGACTCAAAGTGTAAGTAGCCTTTGGTTACAGTTACATTTTACATGAAATGAGAAAAAACTTTCAATCTCATTGCCTAATAAAGACTAGCAGTTGAAACCACATTATTTAACACAACTGATTAGCCTGACTCTCACATCTTGAGACAGATGATTTAACTCTCATTTATCTTTAAAACCACGATGAACAACAACATTTTTTATAACAAGAAACACAAAGGGCACATTTTTACCTTCTAGCATTCCCGACCCTTTCTTTAATATATCCAAAGTGGAAGAAGAGGACTTTTTGCTGGAGTTTTGTTAACCCTTAACTCCCACAAGTGACCAAGACAGAATTTCTCCTTACAATATCAATACAAAATCAAACAGACAAGTGATGAGAAAAAAGAAAAATATCAATAAGGGGATTATAAGTAGATCCAATACCAAATTCTCAAAACCAACATCATAAGAACTGTGTGGAGGAGAATTACTAATGAGATCTTGGGAGTTAAAGCAGTGGGTGAACAGCAATGTGTGGTGATCTCAAGGATAGCACAATGTATTGTGTTTTCTGACATGTCTGCTTGATGACTCACCTTGGAAAGAATCTTCAAGGCAATGTAATGGTGAACAGCTTGCAGATCAGTTTAGTCATTGAGAGCAACTTTAAAGAAGGAAATTAAAATTCTCTCAGTTTTTCAGTGTATTTCTTATGTAACAGTTTTGTTGTATTTTGGTGATGGACCAAGGTTTTAAAGTTGCTCTTCTTAAATATTTATTACTTTTTAACTTGGGTTTTCTTTCTTCCCAACAGTGGCCCTGTTCCTGTGTTGGTCATGAGTTTATTGTTCATTGCTTCAGTCTTCATGCTTCACATCTGGGGAAAATATACACGTGGATAACTGATGACCACAAATGCAATCTACCTTTCAAATTTCAGTTAGACATCACAAGATCTTAATGTCCAATTGATACTGTCTTGCAGTAATGTGAATGTAACTTGTTATCTTTCACATGTTTTATTGTAAATCAAGTACTTATAGGAACCTCAATAAAGAATAAAACTCTTTCAGTTTCTTATCTCGTATTCTATTAAACCTTTTCACCCTAACATCAGCATGGATATTCTCTATAACTTTACATTTCCTTAGGTGCTGACAAGGAGAATTTGTGTAATAATGAAGAGCTTTTTTAGTTGATGATCATGCCCTTTATTCTCATGACCTACCAGTAAATGTTTGATTCAGAGGAGATAATGTAAGGAGAAATAGGATTCTAGTCACTTTTAGGGGTTAAAGGGTTAATTATTTTATAGGATCTGTCTGAAAACCCAAGGTGATCAATTGAGGTTAGATCCTTGCAGTCCGGTACTCATGGGCCAATCTGAGAAGATTGTATTACAAAGACTTTTATGGACCTTTGTAACTACATAGATTAGACAAACCACTGTAGTTGTGGCTGGTAGACTTAGCTGACCTCACAACGGAAACCATAAAACTTGTTCAGCCTTGGCAGGTTACTCCATAACATCTGTATGCATATTCTCTACACAACTCCCTAGACATTTCCTTGGGTTCTGACAAGGAGGATTTGTTCAACAATAAAGAGCTTCTTTAGTTGGTGATCATTTCCTTTATTCTCATAACCTTATTGTTTGATTAAGGGGTGGTGTTGTATGGAGAAATAAGATGTTAGTTGCTCTTAGTGCTCAAAGGGTTACGACAAACTTTACGACCATGCTAAGCACAACATCCTGGTCACGTAACCAAAATGGCACAAACTTAACTGCACGAGGATTGGGCTGGCTTCAGTCAACATTTTAGTGGTCTCAGCCATCTGTTCTACCATTTGCAGCCACTTTTAACCCTTTATCTCCCATGAGTGATCAAGACAGAATTACTCCCTACAATATTAATACAATATCAACCAGATAAGTGCAGAGAATAAAGAGAAATATCAATTTGGGGATAATAAGTTGATCCAATACTAAATTCTCTGAACTAACATTATATAAATTACATGGTTGACTGTAAGGAGAATTACAAATTTGATCTGGGAGTTGAAGGGTTAAAATTATTAGCAAGAAAAGTGTGGAAACCAATCTCAAACATTTTTCTTTCACTTATTTCACCCCTTTCTTAATCCTTTAACTCCCAAGATCTCATTAGTAATTCTCCTTTCTGTCTGTCATACAGTTCTTGTGATGTTAGTTTGAAGACTGGTACTTTCTTTATCCTCATCACTTGTCTGCTTGATATTGTACTGATATTGTACTGATATTGTAGGAAGAAATTCTGTCTTAGTCACTCATGGAACTTAAAGGTTTAATTTAGTCCTGGAACAAAAGAATGCTTAATACTACCCTGTATCCTTTCTGAGGACAAACACATTTATTCAACCTTGTACCCAATGTCTCTCTTCCTGATGCTGTTCAACATGAGGGTGGGGGGGGGAAATGGAGGGAAAAAAAGACCTCAGAACAAGGTTGAGGTTAACTTGTTGAGCTTCTTCTGTTTGGCAATAGATGTATTGCAGTGAAATTGTGATCTGATTCAGTACTTCTGCACATAGAACCATTTTGAGGGCCACTTGATGGAATGGTTAAAAAAAGATTTAATGAAATTCTAGAAATACATGCTACAAAAGGCCACCAACCAAAACAAGCTACTACATTCCAAGGTATTTACCTTATTCTGAGAGAGAGAAAGAGATGAGAGATTTCAGATGGAAATGAAAAATACAAAGATGCTATCAAGTAGGCTGAGCAGTCAGTGGCTTTGATGCACTCAACTCTTTAACCCACATCAACCCTTTAACTCCCATGAGTGACCAAGACAGAATTTCTCCTTACAGTGGTGAGAATAAAGAAATATATCAGTTTGGGGATAATTAGTTGATCCAATACTAATTTCTCTGAACTAACATTATAAGAACTGTATAGTTAATAGTAATGAGAATTACAAATTTGATCTGGGTGTTAAAGGGTTAAGGTCATGAGAATAAAGGAAATAACCTCCAATTCCAGAAGCTACTGATAGTCAATCAAATTCTCTTTACCAGTGCCATAGGAGATGTAAAGTGAACAGTGAGGAGAGTATAAATACAAAGGGTCAACTCCCAGTTGCGATTGGCATGAACATCCCATAATATCTCTACATTATTCAGCAAACAGGTAATGAGAATACTCAAACTTATCAGGTAGAGGCTGCTATCCAAGTTCTCATAACTACTTTGCAAGGAAATGTGTAGCAGCTAGTGGGAAGAATTAACGCGATCAGATCTTGGGAGTTTAAGGGTTAAGCAGATGAGCCATTAAAACCAGAGGCAGTCCTGCAAGAGGTTCATAACCCACCTTAATACATTTTCTTCCCTGGTTCTTTATCTCCTCCACAGCCATTCTTTGGGATGTCACACAACATATACCAAAAAAGTTTGGGGTTACGCTGTGTGGATAAACGAAAAAAGGGAGAAGCTTAAGGGCGCGCACACAGGCACACACGAAAAGAAAAAAAACAAAGTAGGTTTCAGGTCTCATTTCAACTACTAGTTCAGTAGTGTTTATAGCTGCGAGGATCGCTTATATTCCATTTCTTCACCGTAATGCACATATGTGATTTTCATATATTTCCAGTCAAAGAACTGATTACTATTGAGGATGACGAAAGGAATTCAACCACGTTTTGAAGTGCTGTTTATTGGCAACATTTAATAGCATATTGACACATAACCCATCTGATCATACTATATAGTAATCTACATGAAATATACTCTACTAAGCTAATACCTAAAATTTAAGACCTACTAGTAAGTCTACAATTTTTAGCCTGATTATATCACTCGGCCTTACTAGCATTTTACAGCCAATTAAAAAATATAGTGACGGGTGATAGAAATTCTCTCTTGCTCAAACCCAAGCTCTTAAAAAGATCGTTTAGGCTTCGCTGTTTACAGTGTGGTAAGGTTTACAGTTTTAAATTTCCTCAGATTCCATTGGATAAAAGCCTTTGAATTGAGCTTTCTCATCGCCTCTATGTAAATTTGCAGGATGTGTCATCAAAGGCTACCAGCCTTTTCTGTAAAGATTTAAAACAAAACAAAAAACAGGGTGACCTTTATTCTAATCTCTTCCATTTTAAGAGCTTGGTTTTGGCAAAAAAATAGCCTTGAATGGAACAAAAAAATCACCACATCCATCGCTAGTCAACATAAGTTAATCTACTTTAAGATCATATGCACATTTATTTCAGTTTTTGCTACAATCACTTTGTTACAATCATCTCACCTGGCAGGTGATTACATAAACAAACGAAAAAAGTCTGTAAACCCTATTGACAATTCTCTGAGATTATTTACACAAAAATAACCCTGACACTGAATAAATTTGTCTGATCACAGTTTGTAAGGCATGGAGAGCAAGAAGGATGTACCTTTGTATATACAAAAAGTGTACAGTTGAAAATATTGGAAAAATGAATAGAAAAATTTAGCAAAAAGACATCTTCCCCCTTTGAAACTAAGGGAGAAAATCTTTATTAAGTCTATAAACATCCATAAATATATAACATAGAAAAGTAAATAGTTGTGAACAAACTGTAATCTGAGTAAAAATGTCTTGATTGCAAAGTAGTTTCAAATTATTTCTTGTTCTACTTAGGTAACTGCTCTCTACTTCTGTATCAACCCTTTTAACTCTCAAGAACTGATTGTTATTCTCCTCTCTAGCTGCTACCCATTTCCTTGCCAATTAGTTACAAGAATTTAGGGTTACATCAAGATAAAAACTCCAACCTCATAAGTTTGGGTATTCTCATTACATTTTTGCTGAATAATGTATGGATTTTATAGGGAGAAGTTACATGTTAATCACTTCTGGGAGTTAAAGGGTTTAGGGGAAAAATGTATAAACTGGATGAGTTTCCTTGAGTAAAATAACAAGGAAAATAGTACGCAAATGGAAGAATGAAAAAGATAAAAATAAAAGGTACAACCTTCTTGACTCTTTTCACGAGCTGAAACCTCAGGTTTACTTCATAAGCCCCAAGATTTCAGTCACTAGTTTACTGCCCCAATTTATAGGAGGTTCGAAAGGAAATGAATCAAATGTTTATCAAATTTTTCTGTATTTGGTCCAAGCCTTTGCCAAGATACTGCAATCAAGGTAAACCGTGTAGAGATCAGCCTTGATGATCATGCGACTCATGATGTACTCATACTCGTATCTAATACAATCAAATTTATACACTTGTCCTTTTTTCCTATTTCTGACCTTCACCATAAACACTGCTGTCCAACAGAAATTTACAGATATCACCAAGGAATTCTAACTACCTGATAAGCACAACGATGTGCTCAAATGTAATACAATGAATATATTCTAAACATATTTGAGAACAGCTGATAAACTTCATCAAACTGGAAGCAATTGTGAAAACCAAAATTCCTCAATACGCAAGACAGCACTTTGACCCACAACCCAGAGCAAAACTCTTTGTGTGTGTTAATACCTGCCTCTGTCTTAAAATATTAGATGACATGCTGTTGAGTAGTCATTGAACAGAAAACTGCGACATTCTGCGAGGTATTCTTAGCAAAACCTAAAGGTTCTGAAGTCAGCCAGTACAAACTGTGAATTACCCAGGATCATTTCTTAGTGTACATTTTGAAGACTGTCAATCTACCCTATCCCCTGAGGGGAGGGCCAGAAGTATTTTTGTAATACTAGCTTTTGAAACAGGTTTCTCATCCCCAACCCAGCGTTGTTTGACCTTGGGAATTTGCTGGAAGTGGATTTCCTTGAAATCCAAAGCCTGAGTGGTAGTCCTCTTGATATGGTGGAGATAAAATGTCTACTTGGGGATCCCATCCATGGTGTTGTAAGTGACCTGTGCCGACCATGTTCTGCTGTGATGCAGTCTTCATATATCCTAGGCCTCCATCATACTCAAGAGTTGGTAGAGTGTCCTCGAACAAAGGGGGGACATTCAAGTCCCATTTTCCACCTTGCATGTTTGTTGCGTAAACTGCATTTTCTGTGCCCATGACTGTTGCAGTTCTCTGCCCACCGAAATTTTGCATCGCACTTTGCTGGATTGTATGCTGTTGCATTTTCCAATCTGGATATTGGTGTTGTTGTTGTTGTTGTTGTTGTTGTTGTTGTGGTTGTTGGATGTTCCTTGGAGCCTGCTGGACTTGATTCTGGTGATTCTGGTGCATCCAGTTTCCTTGTACACCATGCTGCATGCCTCTGGGACTCACCATAGGGTTTGGGTGCTGCTGACCTGTTATGCAGCTGGAACCATACATTTCATGTCTTTCTTTCTTCTTGATTGTGGTGGAAATCAGAGCTGACTTTGACTGCATTTGAGGAGGAGGGGCTTGTGGAGGCTTAGATACTTTCATCTGACCCATCCCCTGCCAGGAAATATTGACTCTTGCTGGTGCAGGATTACAGTGCCCAACAGGAGAGGGGTCTGGGGTTGGTAAGCCACCTGGCGACATGTGAGGCGAAGGGTGACCAGCTGGCGATGGATACGGTGATGGGGCCATTTGAGCTTTAGGAGAAAAATGCTCCAGATTCTTTGGAGGAGATTGAGATAATGAAGGTTGGCTTCCATCAGGACTTGTCAAATTATTGCTGTCACTATTACATGCAATAGAAAGACAATCTGTTGCAAGTAACAGTGCTTCCTCGTAGGTAGGTGGATCCATCCCTTGAAGTAGATCGCCTCCACCACCAGTGTTGTCAAGTGGCTCAAGATGAAGATCTTCTAAGGTTAAATCTGTCAAAAAACAAACACAATTAAGAGTTGGTTGCTGTAGATCGCCTTCACTAACAACATTGTCCAATGGCTCAAGACGAAAATCATTTAAGGCTAAATCTGTGTAAAGATAAATAGTGTAGAGTCAGTTCTTTTTCCACAAAGTTTGGCTTGTCACATGAACTAGTGCATACATACAGTTTCTCCTTATCATAAGAGCAACCCAGCAATTTAGCCCCAACCCTGCTGTTCTCCTATAATTGTGCAAAAATGTAAGTACCACCTGGTTCCAATCATCCTACAGACAAATTATTCATATTCCCTGATTCTTCCCATGTCAGTTTCTTTGTCTTTCAGTCTAACTGTTTGTCTGTGTCTCAAAACACAAAGACACCATTGTGCACCACACAGACAACAGGAGCTTGTGCCAGTTTCCCTGGCATGATGGGATGATACTCCATCACCAGTGTACTCCCCAGCATACCATCAGGCTTCCCTGACAAATTGCCAAAACCCATCAATTCTCCTGGGTGGGGAAAGTTCCTAAGAGAGTTTAGTATTCTGCCCAAGGACACAACACACTGACCTTTCCAGATCTTCAAACCCAGAGTTCAACACAGTAACCACAAGGTGACCACTTCCCCCACACAAAATTACAATAACTGAAGTTATCTCTGCTGACAATAACATTGAAAACAAACAAACAAACAAACAAACTATAAAGCAGCATTCCAATGGCAGAGTAAAAACACTAATCCAAACATGAAAATCTGAAAAAGTTGTTGTGGGAGCCAATTTGGTTTTAACAAGTTGAGTTTTGTGTTTGACCAAGTAAACAAAAGACAATACAAATACATAGTATGCCTTTTTCCCTATTGCAACAAATTATTTGCCATTACCTTAAAGTCATTGAAAAACTGCCTTTATTTTACTCAGTGCTTTGCTATTAAAGGTTAAAGATTATGCATGTAGAAACAATATTTATACTAACTAGGATTAGAAGTTAAATTAATTAGAATTAAAAGAGATTAAGGGCACTTTATCTTATGCTTTTTAGGTTTGCAACAAACAAAAGATGCAGCACAGAGAAGCAAGCAGTGAGAAGATAAGGAAGAAAGTTGCAGAGAGAGAGAGAGAAAAAAAGAAAGTGTGTGTGCAACACAAGGTCATCTTACCTTGTGGGTCAAGAAGCATGAAATCACTGAGTTCAGGAGCGTCTTTTTCAAGTTCCGCTTGTATGTCTACACCCAGGTCGAAGAGCTCAGGCTCCTCGGGAGTCATAGGTGTAGAAGTACAAGAGGTAGCGGAACTCAAAAGAGCATCAGCAAGAAATGGGGACGACGGATGCTGCTGCAGCAGCGGCGAATTCAAGTCACCTTCTTGAAGCATGGGATTAGGAGCCGAGCCTAACGACAAAAAAGCCAGCAACTAAGATGGGTGGCAAAAAATTGCCAAGCAAATAATACAGCCACATTTGTTTTATCATGCTTTGCCTCTTGCAAACTTGGAGGGATTCTGTTCTTTTTCTAATTTTTCCTTCTTGTTCTGGTCATCATCTGAGCAGAAGAAGGGAATACAATCATGCATATCTTGTTCTGCCAGTTTCACCTGCTGCAGGTGAAGTAATTTAGAGAGGGCATAAACGATCAGCAAGACATTGTCATTGCAATTCACTTAAACAAGCCAAGTCAATCTCAGTTGTGCGTTTCTTGCTTTCCGATAAAAAGCTCTGAAGGTGAAGCAGAGCTACTACCTTGGCTTGTAACTCACACACAAAGGACTGTCAGAACAGAACAGCAAAAATGTGTTTGTTAAGCTTGCAAATTGCAGAGCATAATCCAAGGAATTTGGCTGTAATCAAGCACTGTTTAAATTTAAATAATACATAAAAGTGTCCATTTTCAATCAGATGAAATGTGACATGGTGACAAGGATTTTAACTGTCTTGTGGATGCATTGAAATAGTGCAATTTTAAAAAAAGCCAAATTTTGATCGCATATATAAGAGTTGCAGAGAAACCTGCAAAGCATAATAAATTTTCTGGAATGTCTACTTTGTTGATTTTATACAGAGGGAAGTTTTGAAAGTCTGATTTCATAAGTAAACAGCATTCCAAAATAAATTAATTCATCTTTGAATGCAGGTTTCACTGACAAATGCCACAAAGAGGAGGTGGGTGGTGGGGGAGGGGGACAAAAGGGACAAGCAGCAACTTTCATCCCCATTTTGCTGTTCAGCAACAGCGAGACTGGCAGCAATACGTATGGATGACACAGCAGCAAAAAAGCAATAACTAAACATTGCAGGCAGTTGGCTGTGGAAAAGAAACCCACATTTATAACGTCATGGATTTAAGGGGTAAAATGCTATTATCAACTGAAAAACTGAAAAAAGTGTTTTCCTTGGAGCCTGAAGCCACAATGTACATAAATACATTTTTTTCTGAAAATAATGATCTGTTTTAGAAAAGAGTTCACAAAAAGAACACCATTTAAAAATTTTTAACCAAATAATGATGTTAAAAAACTCAAAGTTTTAAGAAACATTTTTTCTAAACCAATCTAACACAATCACTTGTTGAATGTACAAAAGTGCACCCAAAAAAAAAAAAAAAAAAATCATGGTTATTTCATATTTAAGCCCTACTTTTCTTACAGAACACTGATATTACTTTATTTCAATAGCCTGCTGGTGACTGGAACCTAAAGTCTGGTTGCCAACAGTTGATTTCAAGTTATATTGAAACCCAGCTGGTTGACTATTTTAACCCAAGTTGGTGTTTAAGATCCGTTTGGCTGTACGTATCTTCTTGTTTATGTTTCCAGGAGGACTTCCTTTTAAATATCATAGATGAAGATTTATCAAAAAAAAATGGAATTGAGCAGCTTAACAAGAATTGTACCAGTATTTAACTCTACTTATGGTTAGTCAAAATCTTGGGAGATTTTCAACTAAAAAAAAAGTGTTAGACACTTACCACTGGCAGGAGATTTCACAAATCCATCAGGAACATTCTTTCTTTTTATTCTACCATTGGTAGAAGAATACTTATGTGACGCAGGCATAGGTGGGTATTTGAAGTCAGAGGTGGCAGAGAAGTCTCCCCATGGAACACCTAGGGGGCTGCCACCATTGCTGTAATTACTAATGCTACCCGGACTTCTAGGACTACGAGGACTTGGTGAGCCACTATCACTTGCTGTAAAAGGCAAGGCAGGAAACTCCCCCCTCTGTCGTAAAATTTCTTCACCTTCCTCTTCACTGGGAAAAAAAAATAGGAAATGTGAATCAAGTGGTGTAAACAAATTCTGTAATCCTGTTGTAATAGGTGGTGATGGTTTCCTACAGAGACCTCTTGCAAAAAAATGAGCAACAGAGTCACAAGCAGATATATTTTCATAGATAGTCTACTTGTTTTCACCTTGAGGCTACATTTTATCCTTATAAATGGGATAGGATAACAACTGGGATTTAGCAGCTGGCATTCCACAAGGTGGCTGTTCCTGTCCTCTGTTTGCAAGTCTAATTGGAATTCAGAGTATTTGCTTTTCAAGAGAAAGGAAGGAAGAGAACCAACCGACAAACTAAATGCACAAATGACACCAGGTCCAGGAATCAAACCTGTGGTGTGGTGGTGGGAGGCACACCCTCTCACCACTATACCATGATTTTTGTGCCCTGATTTTTGTGCCATGATTTTTGTGCCCTGATTTCTGTACCCTGATTTTTGTGCCCTGATTTTTGTGCCCTGATTTCTGTGCCCTGATTTCTGTGCCCTGATTTCTGTGCCCTGATTTCTGTGCCCTGATTTCTGTGCCCTGATTTCTGTGCCCTGATTTCTGTGCCCTGATTTCTGTGCCCTGATTTCTGTGCCCTGATTTCTGTGCCCTGATTTCTGTGCGCTGATTTTTGTGCCCTGATTTTTGTGCCCTGATTTTTGCACCATGATATATGATATTTCTTGTTATGATTGTTGTGATTACACTGATTTTGGTTTCACCACACCAAAAAACCCAAAAAACCAAAAACAAACAAACAAACAAACAAAAAAAAACTAGAATATCACTCTACCTCAAGGGCCTGTTTGTTGTAATAATGAAATCAGGCTCACTTCCTTTGAACACAACCTGTGCAGTGCCAGTAAGCCATTGCCACTTTAAGTTTTTATTCAGCATACGGAAGGTCCCTTGACATTTCCCAGTGCTCATCACTAAAAGGAACAGTCATCAACCAGTAATTAAATCCATGAAGTTCTGTGACTTCAACTTGCTGCTTAGGGAGGCTTTTTACTCCCAAGATATGAAAGGTACTTCTATTTCCTGAACACACTGTCATTTTATTTTTTTTTTTTGGCTTGTCTACAGAGTACAAACAATATCTTTTAGAAAACACTTTTTCATTCTCATTACCTGTCTCTCTCTCCCACAGAATTAATCATCAATTCCTAGTATCTCCATTTCATATACCTTTAGCCCTTTTAACTGCCAAGATCTCACTAGTAATTCTCCTTACTGTCTGCCATACAATTCTTGTAATGTTGGTTTGGAGAATATGGTATTAGATCAACTTATAATCCCCTAATTGATATTTTCCCTTTTCTCATCACTTGTCTGCTTGATATTGTATTGATATTGCAAGGAGAAATTCTCTTATAGTCACTCATGGGAGTTAAAGGGTTAAGCTACCAGAATGTCGTATTACAACCTTAAGTTGATAGATTACTTTCTTCTTCTCATTTCCAGTGTCTCTCTTTCATGGATCTAACTATCAGTTCTATCCATTCCTTACACTTTTAGCTCTCATGATACGGAATTACAACCACAAGCTGATGCAGTAGTTTTCTTCCTTCTTATCATGTTTTTAAGTTGATAGTGTAACAATTGATAATATAAGGAAAAATGTCTCTGGTCACTGCTTGAATAACTTATGAAGTGATTGCTCCTGGAATCAATGTCCACACACTAACATTCAATTAACCTTTGAAAAACATTGCATATCAAATCCTATGAGAATTAATAAAGGGGCAGGTTTCTAAGGAAACTATGGTGTGTCAGTGGGAGAGTATAACTGGGTAATTCAGTATTATCAAGGTGTTGATGATGTAAATTGTCCACAGTAAAGAGTTTAAAAGCTGACATTTTAAGTGTCAGCCCTTCTTCAGAGAAAATGAATGAAGGGTTCTGATGAAGCTTTGAAACTCTTTGCTGTGGCCAATTTCCATCATCACCTCCTTAATAATCCTAAATTACCCTCGCAGAATTAGACCAATAAACTTCTGAAGCACTTACAGTCACCATGAAGTGTCTTCAGGACTGGAATATCATCGAAATGGATCATACAGTAACTTGATTGCAAGGCAATGTCTCTCTTATGATAACCAAGAAGTGATCGGCCTCTGTCACCAAAAAAATTCACACATTAACAAACACCTTTATGAGGAAGTTATCACATCAAACATGACTAAAAGCAGAAATCACACCACCCTAACAGAACAGATAATCACATAGTGTTTTCAAGTCAAAGAAACTCTGCTGGGAATTGTGTTGATGTGTTGATGAATAACATTCTGTTAAGGTCTGTTTCAACGACAGAAAGTATAGACTAAAAGGTGTTATTGTAACAGTGAGTCTTTCATTGAAAATAATAACCCTTCTATGGATACTTAGTAGGTTTTCCTTACTTTTGGTCAATATCCATGAAACTTAAATCCATTCTGTTCTTGGTGCAGAACAGCGATGTTTTTAATCTTATTTCAAGCACTGATGATGACACCGTTTCCAGAGGAGTGCAAATCATAAACAGCCCATACTCTCTTCTTTCACAGTCAGGAAGTGTCATTTCACGTAAACGTCCACTGCATCTGAATGGCTGAAGAATTAAATCAAAATTTTGAGTACACATCTTTCAAAATTGTACTTTGATTATAGAGTGATTTCAACAAGTACTTCAATGGAAGACGGAGAGGCAGCATGGTTGGTACACTGGAACCTGGATCAAAGGCCTCAGTTAGGTAATTGCACTGTGTTCTTAGAGGAAGACACTTTACTTACACAATGCTCCCTTTCCACCCAATTCCAATTTACAATTCACTGGTCTCTCCACCCAGGGGTGGAGAGACCAGTGAATTGTAATGGAATGAGGGCAATCCTTCAAATAGCCTATTTTACAGTTGTGTGCTTGGTTGCCAGGCCTTTGAACAGGAGTGAGGCTAAGGGTGACCTTGTTATGATACAGACATTGCTGCTTTCAAAGGTTCTTTGTTTTCATGCTAAGTAGAAACTGGTTTCTATCACAACATGGTCATCTTCAGCCTCACTCCAAATCAAAGGCTTGGCAACAAAATCCACAGCTGTAAAATGGCCAATTGAATCATGCTTCAGAATTGAGGAAAAGCTTTTGAATGATGAGCTATCTTGTTCAGACACTGAAAACTTCACATTTTAATGATTATTATGGGCCATCAAAGCAATGCTTTGATTAAAGGACAAGTACCTTGAAAAAGCCAGCACTGGTGTTTAGAATACATTTCATTCTGCAAACAAAAGATCTCTCTGTCTCCACATCCTTGCCTTGCTCATCTGCTGACATAAAAAAAGACATTTTACATAGGAGCATAACCATAAAATTAAGTTACCAATAGATTTTACCAGGAGAACCTCATCATATCCAAATGTTTCAGTAGGAGCAGGCAACTGGCAAAATTGTCCATAGATATAAAGTGAAATCACAACTACCTTTCCCCTGAATCAATATTAGATTAAAAAACTGAACTTTTATTTGCCGCCTACATTGCAGTTTTTGCCATTTACTTCAAACATATTGCAACTCCTACAAATTGCAAAGAAATATGATCTGCATGATTCCAGTTGAGAATTCTGATTTGTTGAAGATGACAACCTGCCATAACTTGTTATTTTCAATAAAATCAAAAAAAAAAGTGACATGAGGGCACTTAAAACCCACTGTAAAAATATCACAAGTAAGAGAAAAACAAAGAACCAGCATCATACCTGAGCTGCATGTGCTGCCAGTCTCAGAAGCAATCCCATCATTTTCTTCATCAAGAATTCTTATTTTCTACATTAAAAAAAGCAAATCATAAAATGTTAACTTACCAATCACCAAAAAGTCCTGAGGCTAAACTTACTGAATTCACCGAGGCACTAAAACCTCTCTCTACACATAGTGCTTCACAATATCAATATCAAAACCACTATTTTAACCGCAGACACGTCACACAATTGAGGTACTTTGTACAATGCAATATAAGTTTTTGTTTGAAAGGAAACCTTTTTGCAATATAGAACCAATTTAAAAAAAAGGCTTGAAGAGTAAAAAGAAAATTCTGCAGGTAAACTGTGCAATTTATAAAGAGAAAGACAAAAAAATAGAGAGAAAACTTAAGCTTGAAGTTGAATTGTCATGAATGAGGTAAAATACAATTCTCTCGATTGCTTCCTGTTTTTCCCACTACAAACATCACCCGCTCTGAAAACAGAGAGACCTGTTCTAAAAAACATACAGCGGCAAAGACACTCTCAAGAGAAAAACCACATTTCACTCTTCCCACAATTAAAATTTAGGTTTTGTCACAGATAAAGCAGAGGAAAATTCTCTTTTGAATTAAAAACTTGGTTCCAAGTCTAGATATTGCTTTGACAATGAAGAATTTAATCAAAACACGGGCAATATAGAGAATGTTTTTTTTTGTCCTGTCATAAGCATTAGACAAAGAAAAAAATTGTAGTCCTTGTGAGGAATTGAATCTTGGACCTTTGCATTTCATACTTTGATACTGTCACTTGGGTCACAGAGACTCTGCCATGTGAAATACCATTACAAGATTTTTGTGCAGTCTTATTCAATGAGCTGATGAATTACAATAAAAATTTTAAAGACATTGCAAGAAAAAATATGGAAAATACAACAAAACAAACCTGTTCTTCTTCATCTTCAGGGAAAGGGAGAAGATTTTTTCTAATGAGATCGTGATCATCAACATGGATAAATCTTAAAAAGTCCTGGTGTATGACACTTGCCTGAAAAAAATATAAATTTAAAAAAAAAAAAGAAGAAGAAAGAAAGAAATGAATAAAAAACAGGTCACATGTAGACTTTCTCAGAGTCTTACATAAAAAGTGGACTTGGGACTTCTGCACAGCAAGAAGAGAAAAAAGAGAAAGATGTTTCTCATCTTGTCAGGAGTGTGGGACAAAAAAAAATTCTGAGTCCCCATGAGGAATAAAACATTAGACCTTCGGATTCTGTGCTCTAATACTCTATAACTAAGCCACACAGAGGTGATGAGCAAAGCCCATCACAAAGTTCATATAATTATGGCATGCGTCCTACATACTGCTAGGATCAGGGAAGTCGATAGCACCATTTTTGTGAAATAATAAGAGAGATGGTAAGTTTTCAGCTTGGTAAAGAAATAGAAAAGGTATTTTTGTCTAATCACAAGTGTGGGACAAAGAAGAAAATTCTGAGTCCCCATGAGGAATCAAACCTCAGACCTTCGGATTCCACACTCTGATGCTCTTCCAACACTCATGATAAGACAAAAAATACCTTTCTCCACTTCTTTACCAAGCTCAAAACTTATCATCTCTCATGTTCTTTTTAAAATAAAAAAGAGTTCTAAGATATTTGGCAAAAAGAACTAGTTGACAATTCCCTTTTTTCCCTTCTTGCTGTCCTCCAAACATAATTAGTAGAGGTACTCTCTGCTATCTAACCCTTAAACTCCCAAGATCTGATTGTAAATTCTCTCCTCTAGCTGCTATATATTTCCTTGTAAATTAGTTCAAAGAATTTGGTGTTAGATCAAGATGAGTCATAAACTGTTTGCTAGACAGTGTATGGATATGATGGGAGAAGTTAATGGTTAACCACTTGTGAGAGATAAAGGGTTATTGTCACTGAGCAAATAATCCAGAATTAGTGGCCAAAACCTTGTACTTAAAGTTGTTTCAAAATAATTCTAAAAAACATCAATATGATGAGGCTGCCAAGACATAAGGGGTAATAACAAACTGCAGCAGAAGAAGTTAGACAAAATAATTAGAGCTTTTTTAAGCAAAAATAAAAATCAATAGTTATTTCAGGAGTGAAAATTCAAAAAAAGCTTCAGTGCTGCTGTCGACCTTCATTCACCCTTGAACTAGCATGTGTAATTGCCCCCCACTGATTTCTCCTTTCAAAATCAATACAAAGTCCCATGGAAAGGTGATGAGAAATACTGTAACCAAAAAAACAAAAATAAACTCTGCTTGAGTAATGTTAAATTCTTAGAGTTTAAATTACACAACAGTGTGGAAAATTGACACTGATATATAGGAGAGGAGGGGTTCAGCTTCAAGAGGACGTGCAAGAATCTTGAAACATTACACAGCTGGTGTAAATATATGTAAACAGCCCCTATGAGTTGACTAAAATTTCAACACTGATGAGAATAGAAGGCAATGGAAAACTCAGGTAACTTGCTAAGGTACAAAACAACTAAGAAGATTTCACTAACTTGAGGCACAAAATATAAGCAATTGCTGAATAAAATATTTTGATGAAAGCCATTATATAAAAGTTAACACAAGTTTTTCTTCCACAGATCTGTATGTAATGACTTGGTGATGTATGGTATGTGAGAGAGCCGCATAATAGACAAAAAATGTCAAAAATTCTCATCAATTTTAAATGTGGACCTTTGAGAATAATGCAGATCAAATTTTATCCTAACACGTGCAGTTGGAATAAAACTGTATTTCAGAGTTGCTTTTTTTAAACTGTCACATTGATCTGTCTCTAGTAGATTTAACATAATTAGTTGTGTGATATTTTAGGAAGCCAAAGAGAACTGTTCAATCAATCTATTGTTTATTGATTGCATTCCTTCAAGTTCAAGAGTAGGAGTTCTGGAAAAAGCTCTTTGAAAACTTATATGAAGACCACTGAACCAGAAATAACCCTGTGAGTAGTAACATAATAATATACATCCTGGAATGATAATGCACCTGATGACAAAACTTAATTACAAAATCAATGAATCATTCAGATGTCAAAAGAGGAAAAAATAGAACAATGGGATGAATTGTAACTATTAACAAAATTCTTTCACTCATTGATATACACACTTCAGCAGTTGTAAGCTAAACTTGAAATAACCTCTCAGAGACAGGAGGTCACAATAAATAGTTCGCTGCTTTATATTACCACATTGATGATCAGAAAATGAAACACTTGATGATTCAAAATTCTACAAGCCACAATTTCTAAGGAAAGCTTCATAGCACCTGGAGCTGTTAATAAAAAAATTATTAACATACAAATACATAAAAGATAATGATCTTTAAGTTTCCAAATTTCCCTTTTGTTACATGACTTTCATTTTTATCAATCAACGTCACCATTAAGAGCAGTATACCGCATGCAGAGTAAAATTCCTAAGCCTTGGGTGTGATTTCATTACAGAAAACAGGCCAAAAGCAATGTACTACTATCAAAACATAAATGTGCCTGTGGGTGACAAACTTCAGGAAAGAAAAAAAAAACTTAGAGCAAAAGGTTTTACTGAGAGGCAAAAGTCTTACTCAGACATTAAAGCTCTGCTCTAAGGGAAATCGTCAGTTGCCTAATAACCCTGAAGTCAAAAATGCACAGCTCTTAAAAAGTTTTCACTGTGATAAGAAAAAATATCATTCAAGTTGCCAAAACAGAAAAGTTAGATGCCTGTAGCACCTGTAATCATGGAAAAAACTCTTGAAAGAACTAGGAAACTATTAGTCTTGTTTCTAAGGCTAAACTAAACTAAGACTGATGCATTCTAATTTTACTGTACATCACCATATGTTTTTCCCCTCAAAAAATATCGGAATGTATATTTGGGTGGAAGAGATTCAATAACATTGACAGGGGCAGGGGAAGAAGGAAAATATTCTGAGAAGGTAAGCTACAACAGGTCTTTGAATTACAATTCATGGCAGCTAAAGAACTGCCCTTGGGTGTAACTAGTAAGGTGTACCTGTGCTAGGCCAAGATAATCTTGAACAGTTTCAGATGCATAAAATACTTCAAACTCTCTTGTCAACACAATGACAAAACCATCCAAAGCCTGAAAAATAAAATGCAAAAATATTTTTATAACAGACAGTGATACATGTGTAGCAAGATAACCAAATGCATTACTAAGTGTAGATATAAAATTCCCATGCCTAAATGCCAAATTAAATTTTTAATTATACCACTCAAAGAGCACATAATATTACCAGCCAAGGTCACCTTTCATAAAGCAGTTAATCCACATATTTCTGAATGTGTTTCACATATTCACTGTACATGTAAATTGGACATCTGTTAAACAGCCCACTCACTCAAGTTTCATTCAAATCCATCTCTATTGAATGGTCATCTTATCAAATTAAAATTGAGAAAGGTGACTGGTTTGGTTAACCAAGAGTTCATTCTTTGTGGTTATATCAAAACCTGTTGGCTCTGAGCAAGGTACAGTGAATCACTACACAAAGATAATTTATTTGGACTCAACACTGTTCACCACAACATCTGTTGGCTACATGTGAGCTTAAAAATACTTAAAATATATTTCATATCATTGTTAGTAGTTGTCTGAGATAAGATGTGAATTGTGTCATCAAATTACTCTCTGGATCACAATGCACTAAATTTTGGCCAACCTCTTTTTGAGTTAACCTCTACTGAATGGTCATCTGGCTATCTTCCGAGATACAAGTGCTTAATAGATACTTAACTATATCATTTTCACTGTTTTGAAAGAAGAATTCAAAACCACCAACCCTTACCCACAAATGTTATTTTTACATATAGTTCCCTTGCAGAGATTAACTTGAAGTGTTATAATTAATATATCTTCAACAACAGTCACATTCATTTAACATAAAAAATATAAATATATTTGAATATCTGTCCATATTAAGATCTAAACAAAAACAGGACTTACATCTAGTAAAAGCTTAGAAAATATTCCATTGCCTTCAAAATCTGGTGGTCCATCAGAAAGTTTACCAACTTTGTTTTCCTCTGTCCATTGCTGGCCTGTAAAAAAAAATTGAATTCAGTTGAGGAATAACTAAATTTAGGTTTGATCCGTAAGTCCAATATCTGAGCCGGTTCATCTAACATTTCACAAACTATCTAGATAGATATGCATAGTTTCGTTGAAAAAATGAAAAAAAAACCACTTAAAATCCTTAGGATTACACTTGCATGGCTGGTATCAGGACTTTAGACAATACTAGGCAGAATCCACTACCTTAGTTGCCTCTAGTTCCACAAATTACATTTCATGATCAAATATTCCAATTCCAGAAATTGACCAGAGATTGCCAAACTCTTCGCAATGACATACAATAAATATTACAATAATAAGTATTTTTGTCCCATGTTTCTCATCAATTTGTATGAAAAATCAGAATTTTCCAATCTTTTGACTGTCAGCAATAGTCCTAAAAGTGTGCAAATAATATCTTTTGAAGAACCAGATTTAACAATTAAGGGGACAATTTTTGCTTGACACAAAACTTGTCTAGAAATGCAAATTCATGTTATGTCAACCTGGCTCTTCTCAATAATACTCTTTACAATGTAAAGTTTTTTCATCTTTTACTTTTTGGATGGGAAGCATTTGATATTTTTGCCAGGAATAAAATTTTGCAGTTTTCCAAAACAAGCAAATGAGGTATGCATCATTATTAGGATTTAAAAATTTACTCTAGCAGATTGTGTACAAAACACAAATTTGAAACCTGCAATTTTTTTAAATTCTACAATGACCTGGAATCAGCTGACTATAAAGCAAAAATCAAACAAATGCCATAATAAATGTCCCAAGATCAAAATGGTGATTCTCTAAACTGACTGTGTACAATTCTTCACATACCATTAGAAAAAATATGGATCAAATGGACAAACCATTTTATAACTTTGACCAAAGAACCACTAGGTAAAAAATGTCAAATTGAACAGGAGTATATCATTCACAAAGTTGGATAATATTACAATGTTTCCAATACCCTCACCTTTGAAGAAGTTTTTTGCTCTGAGGTAGCTGGCAGACAATCTCAGAATGGACAGTTTATCTAATTTCTGGATCACATCATGGGGAAATGGCAGGAGTTTTGCTAGGTTATCCAGCTCAATGTTAAAACGGTCACGATGCCGTTTAGATGGATTCAAGGAGCCTTTGAGGCTGAAAAGAAAAATTAAAACAAATTCTTGTGTTAATAATAGCTTGGTAATATAAAAAAGACTTATAAATTTCAGAAAAACAAATTTATGCTCTTGTTCCTTGGTATGAACTGTCTTGATATTTTGAAACACAAGAGTACTTTTGCTAAAGGTCAGTGGTAGAATCCTCGCACAAATGTCAAGTTTGCATGTGATGTGTTACTGCCTATGGCTAATTGCTTTTGGAAAATAAATGTACCATTCAAGGAGGCCTGGGTGGATTAAATGAATTTGAAAATTGCACAAAATACTTAATGATGCCCATTGTTAAGTGAGCAAAAGACAAAAAATAAGAAGGGATGACAGTTCTTTTTTTTTTTTTCTTTTTTTTTCCCCAACGTAAAAACCAAAACATAAACAATTATTTATCAATCAAGAAATACCAAAACAATTTATCTTTCAGGCTGTTCATTGCCTAATAGATATCAGATAATTCTCTGGCTCTTGCTAAGCTTTCCCTCACAAAATTTGAATTGCCAAGGTTATTTTTAAACAGTGGCCAAAGATACTCTTGGTCCTATTCCACAGCTGCTAAAACCCTTGTCTAACAACTGAATTCAGTCTTTACTGCCTGGTGTAATAAAATTGTTTTTTAGAAAGTGGTTCTACCAAACATTGCATTCAGTTCAGATATTTTTTAAGGAAAGAAAACAATTCTAAGAATATTGTTTATAAAAAAAATAATGAAAATAAATGGAAATTCCCAGACATCTGCGATGATGTGTTCGGGGTTAGGGTTAAGCTGCTTAAACGAGAAGGCTAAAAGCTTAAAATAATGCTGTGGTTATGTTGTCTTGGTCACAAGTACAAGCACGGTATGTATGAATGCATGTGAAAACAGCTCGCGGAAACCTCACTGACAACAAAAACTGTAATTTGCCATAAGAAAGTGTACCTCTGTAACTGAAGGAGCACTTGGCAAAGTAATTAATGTCTGGCTGCCAGACCAGAGGCTGAACCAAATTATTTAAATTCTTCAAGCGTACTGTTCCTTAAGCTGTCAACACACATTCTCTCACATGGCCAACATGTCAAACATTAAGTGATTCTCGAGACTCATCCCCGAAAGTACAGTAATTTTTAGCCCTTGATGAATGCTAAATCATTTGTCGTGCAATCTGAACTTGAGTGAAATCTTGATAACAATCAAATGAGAAATCGGCGAAATCCGATGTATGTAAATACTACGTTTCCTCTTGATAATTAATGGTACTTGATGCCTGTCCATCTAACGGTTTTCCTTTTCATGATAAACTCAGGAAAAGGATGGTTTTCAATTCGGAACAAAAAAAAACTCGACCTCTCGCTTAGACAAATAGGGTTACAAAAAACAAAAACCGCAGCCATTTTCCTTCAACGTGAAAATTCGTAAACAGATAAAATTGATCAAGAAGCAAATAACAAAAGATGTTTATTTTTTCCTTAAAGTACCATGGCAAAATGAGAATTTAAGCAGCACACACACACTAGGGAGGCTAGAAAACGTTGAAGTCGCGCTCTGCGGCAAACGAAGCCTCCGTGACAAGAAACATAGGTTGTGAATCACGGAATAACTTTTTCCATCCCAAGCTAAACCTCCATTTACAATTTGCATAAGAATCAATTGAAACACGCCAAAGATAAAGGCCATGTGTATTATCCATGAAACACAAAAAGAACGAATTATTTTGACAGCCAGGTGAATATGTAAATTGCTTCAAACATTTGAAAAATGTTGGAGGGGTAATGAGTAAGCGCGCCTTTTTTTCTCTTGTTATGGACCCCCTATCTGTAAAAATTTACTCTAAAATCTTTCGCTTGTTAGAAAATTCGAGGAGTTCTTAACAGTCAAGCACAGGTTGTTGAAAACCGCAACAAAACGCTTGGAATAATATAGATTGTCTCGAGAATGTATTCCCCCGTCGTAAATTATTATGACCGCGAAGACGAAGGATGAAAGGACTCGATACGCGTAAAATATGAGGCAAATACCCATAAAAACTATACAAAACGTTCCTCCAAGGTTTGAACTATCTAAATCATCACAAAACATGTTCATATGTCGGCCGGGACGCGAGAAAATGATTTCGTGCATCGAGGGTTAAAATTGGTCGATCACCCTGAATCTCTGAAAGACAAACATGGCGGGCTGGGCTCCAAATAACAAAAGCGCTATTTCGCTGCAGTTAACTCTAAAGGTCTGACGAAATCACTTCCACAATCTTATATCAGAAGATTTAAGAAAAAATAAAGCATTGTCGAAGAAGGCATACTCGATGATTTTCAACGCAAATTTCTATCGCCCACCAGCCCATTCAGAGTTTTTTTGGGCCGAAAAGAAAACTCGACTTTCAACTTTCTTTGATCGGCCGCGACTAAACCGAGCACGAACTTATGCCGTCGTTACTTATCATGGTATTAAAGCACCGCTTCATCCTTTTGCGCGTTCAAGTTTACTTCATTGCTTTAAAAGAGTAAAAGTATGTCGTTGCTGTCAAAGGTCATCATAAGATATACGGCACTTTATCGGGCGTTGCGTAAAGCATCGAATATAAGCTTAAACTAAGAGTCGAAAACACCAACATGGAAAACACAATTGAAAATTGGAAGTTTAATCGATCAGGCCTGTGATCTGAATGTCTCGAAGTTCAGTTTTCAAAGCAGAATAACTGGAATTAAAACGATTGAACGAGCTAAAATGATGCCCTTTTCGCGGGTTTCACGCGGTACGCGCACAGCGTCTGTAGCGATGTCAAATAATGCAAATTGTCTTTCTGCCACCCTTTTCTACAGTCGCTTCACAGTATCGTGGCGGTGAATTTAACTCAGCCGGCTGGTGGGGTTTGTTTATACCATTGCTGAGAACAGCTACAGTTTTATGCTTCGCGGGGAGTGAAAATCGAAGGGGTTCCAAACGCTACAATTCGGAAATGCACACCGGAAAAAGCTGAGGTATACATATGCCATACAATTTCTTAACCTTGCAGTGAGGAAAGACTAAATACACGCCAGGTACAAAAACCAGAACAGATGAAATAACAGATTGACCTCACTATTAGTGGCATCTATCAGATTTAAATCGTAATCGAAAAGAATAGGACGTAACTGGTTTTGCATCGCTCAAGAATAGTAATCGACGTGCAGCCGAATTCATGCGAACACAACACTATTGTCGCGCTACGGCGCACGGATTCAAAATCTCTTTTCTCGCCACCCTATTCTCTTGCAGAAGGATAAAAAAAAAGTACAAATATGAACAAACTTACCTCGAGCTTCGCTTCTTTCTCTTCGCTGTACTCATATTTTCGTCTACGAAAACAAATCAACGCGTCGCCATTCCAGTCGTCTATGTCTGTGTGTTCTTTTCCTAGCGTTCAAACCGCGGTCTCTCGTCAATTCGAAGCGATTTATGGTTCTAAAGCACGTTACGATCACTAAGATAGAATATCGAACCAAGAGCTGTTTGGTTGTGTCTCCAAACAGCGCTTATTCGACGTAACTATGTTTAGAAATGGCGGCCATATTTTCCGTTCGCCCTCGAACCATGTACATGATGTCAAGTAAGAAATCGTGCTGAATAACCGAGCAAACACAATAGATCTCAAGCTGATTGGTCAGATAGTGAACCACTTACGTAAAACGTCACATGAAAAATTTGCATGTGAACTAAAGCGTTTCTGAGCTGAAATGAAAATTCAATTTATTTTATGCTTAAATTTTGCAACAATAAAAGAATTGCCTATTTATGGTTTGGCACACCGATTTAATCTTTAGCGTCGATCTGAGACCCTAAGTAAGTGGGTTATGCTTCGCCCCTCCTGTGTTAAAACAATCACAAGCAGTCTTCCATTGTTATCACACAAAGGAGACCAAAAGAAAAATAGCTTTGCATTTTATTGACGAGCGAAGAGTACTTAAAAATGTTGTTTTGTCGAGAGTTCTCGAGAAAAGGTTGCGTTTTCTCAACAAAGCATTTTGATGTACGCTTTACACGAGGTCGACGCCTAACCCAGGCAAGAAATCCCATGTAATTTTCAGGGCCATTTTAGGCGAAAGAGTAATGTACAAAACAGCACGATAGAATAAAATGGGTTTATGAAATTTAGCCTTGTGTCAGTAGCGTAGCTGAATGGGTAAAAAATTGTTCTCTAATAGCCAACCACAGCTCTACCCAGCTTGATAAGTAAAATCACCACAGGGTGCTTATTACTTTGAACCTGTGAGGCGCGGCGGACGCACCTCAAGAAATCGCTTTTCTAACATTTTTCTTCAATAGTACGTCTAACTTGTCAACGCCAATGTTGTTTTTGTACCAATCCATTTCTAGACAGCAGGTGACACTTCACGCTGTATTATTCATACCATTTGGCCGACAGCAATCGTCTTTAGTGCACGAACTTCCGAGTTCCAAAATTACTGTTTATGCAATCTTATTTCCTACTTTAGCTAGGGTACAAGATTTTAAAGCTGATATCCTAAGGCAAATGTTTTTTTATTTCAATATTTTTTTGCCAAAGAATACCTCTTTGGCAAAATAATTTCTTGGAACCTACTCGTTAAAATCTGGTTGCCTTAAAAATTTTCCAAAACCTTATACAAAAAATGTCCACTCGCTTTCCTTGGATCAGAAATCAAGTCTCGTGAGCTGAATATCGCTGGGGTACTCTGGGATTACTATTTATCGTTATTTTTCTCTCAAATACACGAACATTTTCTTTAAAAACTTAAATTAATCGGACCTTATGTATGTGTAATGAATGTATAGCGTCTACTACTTTCCCAAAGACAAGATCTCTGCTACATCGATCACCGAGTCATTTTAGCAATCGGACTGTATTTTATTCCAAGGAGACATCTTTTACTGTTGTAAAGATAGCGTTATTTTCAAATAGAAAATATACTTTTTTTTCCAGCCATTCACTTTTAAATCAAAGCTCTGATTCCATTGCCTCAGGTTGTTGGAATACACTCGAACAAATCAAGCTTTGTTGCCATTTGGCGGGAATCTTAACACCTGTCTGTCTAACAGCCATATTTAGAATTCCTCCTCCTACGTGTCAATGTTGTTTATAAAATGTCAGTATAAATCCAAACATGCAACGTAATGAAGTCTAAAACGACCACTTTTGAAAATGATTTAAAAGACATTACCGAATCTCGCTTTTTTTCCTTGAGAAAACAGTATGTAAGGATTTGTTCCAAACCGCAAGTTCTAGTTTTATTTAGTTTTTTTTTATCTACAGGACTATAAAAAACCCTCAATAAATGCCTCTAAGCCTAGAGTTAATCAAGTTAAAAATAAGATTAAAAAAATTTAAAAACCGAGAGAGCTAGAGTAAGAAAAGAAGCCAACACTATTGAACTCAAAGACAAACCTAAGCAAAGTGACGTGGAACTGTAGTAGTTGCCGTGAAATTGGATGCGCAGAAGTTACTCATGTTTGTCTGTGGTGGTTACAAAAAATGCATTTATTCACCGATTATCTTTCTCCTATAGACATAAAGATCTTTCTTTGTTTTTGGGTGCAGGTCTTTTACGGGTTAAACGGATAAATTATTTACTTTGTATGAAGATCAGGTATAATGTGCAAACACACTTTGAAACTTTGAGACGTAGTTTTGAAATGCTTCAGAAATTTTGCTTTAATTTCTGTACTGAGGTAAACGAATTGAACCAGAAATTTCAGAAATCGGTTTGCATCCTCTGGGAAAATCATTTGACAGGTTCTTTTTTTCTTGTGATAAATATTTTACCTGCTTTTGTTTATGTTATTGTTTGTCAGTCAAACTTTGTTCCCATCTTGTTTATGGAAAAGGCGGCCGAAAGGGTTTATGTTTGTGGATATATTGCTTAGGACGTCAAGACTGTAAATTTGCAGATTTGAAAATTTCACGAATCGCCGATTGACGGGCAATTTTTGCCAGGACTCTGGATTTTGTCTGTTAAGAAGTTTGGATTATGGATACCGTCGTTAGGTTAGGAACAGCTTTTGTAATGTTTGGGTGTTGTGTCAACTTAGTTTGATTCAATTTTCGTTAGAGAACTTGAGATCCTTTGCAATAATTATCCCCTCGTGCTGTATGTAATGACTGTTTTTTTTATCAATATCCAGATTGCGGTGGTTTTATCGAAAGGAAGAAACACGTGCAATTTTCATACAGGAACATACCAAGGAAGGTTCTTAGTAGTTTTTGGCGTAAGGGAAAATTGTTGTTCATCCCCAAACTCTCAAAATCTGATTGGGAATAATCTTCTTCATAGCCTCAAATAATTTTTTTTTAGTAAGTTTCGCAAAAATGGTGTTGTATTCATCATCAACGGTGTTGAAAAATAGTTGTAAAGTAGTTAGGTAAGTGAGAAAGATAAACGTGCTTTTTGAGATCCCGGCCTTTTCCCAAGATGCGCGGACCGCGAATAACCCTCTTCGAGAGTCATAATATCACTTTGTATCGTTTATTAGACGAGTCTGTACACATCACCTGCCCGGTGTCTGCTACGTAAGGTCATTCACGCTCCGCGCGGAGAGAACGTGACTTCCTGTGACAAGCTTAAACAAAAGTCTCTTTCACCAATTGTTTGTTTTAAGTGTCAAGCTCCGGGGCTCTGTTCACGGGTTTGGGGTGACCTGAAAAATGCACATAATTGTTTACAACAATCGATATTTGTAGTTTTTGCTCGTTACCTTGGGTTCACGCATGGCTTATTAGATAAGCTGGGTCAGAATTTCTCTCAATCTACTGATCCTAAGGATAGCCACAAGTTAGGAGAAACGGAAATGCTTTGAGTGTTTACCACATGTGGTAATAAGAAGAAAATAGAAACAAACAAAGAAAATTAGATGAAAACAACGCTCTCTAAAGAAACGAAGCGCGGTGAACCCAAATGGTGTTCTGCTCACCTCATTCCGTTCTGGAAACAGCACAGATATTCGACTTATGCCCGGCGATGACATTCTTATAGCTGAAATAACCAACAAGTTTAGGATATATAAACCCACAAAAGAAGACCGGAATCGAGTGCGGTGAAACTCGAACCCGTTCCTCTCCCTAGTTTGTTAACACATCAAGACCGTACCGCATGGGGTTATGAATTCCACTCAAGTTGAAGAAAGACAGATCTAGAGGCTGCGAGATTGGGAAGACAGTAAGGGAGGAAAGGATGATTGAAAATTCAGCATTGTATGATAACTTGAAGTGACCTGAAATGAAGAATAAGTAAAACTGTATGCGAAAGGAATTTTTTAAGTAAAAAATGATAAGAGCAGATTACAAGCATTCTCGCCTTGAGAGCTTCTTGAGTGTTGTTCAGACAAATCCATTTGCAATTTCCACTTTATCTCATGTTTTTATCGATCAAGGGGTTTTTTCCTGTGATCGTTCCTGCTAGTTGCTCTGGCGTCTAACTTCCGGGAAGACATACATTTTCCAGAAGAGAGATTTTTCGACATAGTATTGTTCCCTTAAAAATTTGAGATATTGAACCAAGCCTGACCCATGGTGAAATTCAACTCCAATTGGATCGAACTGCCAAATAATTTTTCGAAGCTATTGTTCTTTTATGAAGTTAAATGGTAAAAAAAGAAATATACATTGCTCCTTTTTGTAAGAAAATCCATAATTAGGCAGTATTTTAGTCTTGGTTTATAATGAAAACCTTTTCAGTTAGAATAGTTTGATATTTGTTGAAGCGCAGCATTTCAAAGATTACGCAGCGAAATTAAATGACGAGTGAAATTAACAGTACTCTCTCCTTCCTGAAATGGGCTGACGTGGGTTATCTAGGTCAAGTACATGGAAAAGACACGCATGCGTCCTTTCTTGAAAGAGATCAAATCGCCTCACTTGAGATGCATTTTGTTCTTCACCACAGACGCTATTTTTTCAGACCTAGATAAGCAAACCTCAAGGTACAATTACAAACCGATTAAAATTGATACCAACTTGTGACAATCTGTCGGCAAGACTGGATTACCTGAAAGAAATACTTAATTCTGATAAGATTATACTTGAAATTTAAGTAGAAGATAAGAAGATGCATATAACGTAAGACTTTCCTTTTATCTTCTTACTTCCTGCTCCTGACCTCTTCAGGTTTTTCCGTCAATAGATTAGGATGCCCTAGGTTTCATTTAAACAAGGGCATTGCGGCGCTTAATCGTTCACTCACGCTCCGATAAAAAACATTTTCCTGTCGCTTTTTTGTGTCACAATCCGACTTTATTTTGTTTGTAACAAATATCAAATATAACCCTTGGTTAGGAGTAAAGTAGGTAATTTAGTGTTAACAACTGAGTTGAAAACGTAAATTAGCTACCGTAAAGGATAAAAAAGCTGACGTTTCGAGCGTTAGCCCTTCGTCAGAGCGATTAGACGATGAAGACAAATCGCTCTGACGAAGGGCTAACGACTGACTCAAATTCCTGTACGGGAAAGAAGAATCTCTCTGAAGTTTTCCCCACTCCCAACGTGTGACTTTCTAGCTCGGTTTATAGCTACGGTGCCCAACTAGTATCTGGAAGGCATGAATTCGAACCCGAACCCATGGGATCAAAGCC